GGGGGGGGGGAATTCAATGCGCAAGTTGGCCGATTCGACCTCACAACACAGCCAAAGCAAATCGTGATTTTGTTCAACAGGCCGTGAGTGCAGATGCAGTATCATGCCGAAACAGATTACCTGCAATTCAGCCAGGGGAAAAAAGTTCTGCCGATAGCTACATAACCTCCTGCTAGCAGCTAACCCACTCTTTCAGTGAACAAAGCTTGCATCGCAACACAAAAGGAGTGACTAACGTCGTTACAAATGTCAAAGACATATTCTTCTATCATGGACAGCAATAGAGTAATAGTTAAAGGCAATGCTCCACTGCAATACTGCCACGAACTGCAAGTAGAGAGGAGATAGGTGGTGAATCACCTTCTCTCAATCACTAATCCAGCAGTCAAGTAGCGACTGCCGCGTGACGCACGTTTATAGTCAAGAATATTAATGAATGGTATGATCTAGTCAGGCATGATGATCAATACTCCAACTGCCGTTGACACTAGTTACATCCATCTGATGCACTGAGCACACCACCGGGCATCATATCTTCTAACCAGTGGAGGAAAACGAAACGAAACGTACATCATCGAATAGGTCAGTGTAGACAAAGTAGCCTGGGAGACGTTCCATTTCCACGGAGTCCACGGAATAGGTAGCTGCAGGGGAAGAACATGAAAATAGGATGAGCAAATCCAACGAGGGGTTCCTGGTAAGCAAAATCGGTTGCACCGACGAGCAAATGTGCCGTCATGTTAGATCACAACAGACTTTATTCAACGAGTTACCTGATGTTGGGAGTGATTATCTGGGTCGTACGTGGATGGAGGGCGATCCCCAGGCCAGGTTTACGTGATGATTTGTCATCTCCTCGCTACTAGCCTCTGCCCCACGGTTTAAAATTCAGTCGTTAATTGAAACAAAGCAGGTGCTAACCGGGACGTTGGAGACAGTGAAAGTTTAGGGTTTTCACACAACCGAGAACGTTATTAATGGTGCACAAAGCTGGGCCAGTTCGAGGGATCTAGACGCCCACCGTTTCAGTCCCTTGAGAGCAGTAAGTACGTGATCATCCTTGATTCGTGACGTTGATGCGTCGTGTTCCTACTTCGTTTTGCACATCAAACCACCTAAGAACACAAATTCTTCAAATTCCACCAAAGCGTGATTCTTGATCATAGAGCTATGGAAGGTTACAGCCATTCCAGTCAGGATCTCGATAAACAGTGGCCTTCACCTGATCCGATTCGATCAAGATGAAAGCCGTGAACCTCTACGCAATATCGATACATGCTCAAAAAGGCTGTGCTTCCAACACCATAAAAACACAGTGAAAATGACCTTCAAAGTGGCTAGCATGAGAAATTAAACAAACTTATCAGAACTTATCGGGTGTTAGTGCTACAAGCCAATCGGGCTTTTCCAAGTACTGGGTCTCTGCGGGGACCGTGGCTTAGCTTGGCGCGGGACGAGAGATTCCCCCCGATGGCAACCACAATCCAAATGGATGCATCATCCGATACCAGGTAAAACTGAGTGTGAGAAGACTTGCTGGATCCAGAGAGAATATAACAGATATCTGGGGGAGAGTCCAACCATAAAAACTGGAGCGAACAGTAGTGCCCGTCTTCAAACAATGTGCTCGCGCTAAATGTAGTGATCACAGAGGTGTTTGTTTGATTCCATGATAAAAGGACTTCTGCAGCCAATGGTTTCCCGCAGTCTTGAGCGAAAACCTGCGTGGTATGGTTTGATACCTTTAGACACTAAGGCGGGTCGCAAGGACGGGAAATATTTTATAAGCTACATCCAACGATAGTTATCACACATAGATCAGTGACCCCCTCTCACCACACAAGCAAACTGGGTCATTTGACTGTCAATTATCTGACCAAAGGGCCTTATGCTCCTCACTGCCTACTAACAATAAACAAAATAACACCTTTATAAATTCATAAAATCCTTTCTAAGAGCTTTTCAACGTCCGTCTTCTTTACCAACCTACGCAAAGCAATGCCAGAGAGCACCTTAGATGCGATGAGCACCAGGTTAATACGAACGCTCTTGCGCCCTGGACGATGGTCGAGGAGCTCCGTTCAATTGGTATTGTATTTTCTTTCCAAATCTTCTGCAATATGTTCGTCAGACTGTTCACCAGGACCTGAGGCGAGATGGCCGAAGTGGTTAGAGCGCAAATTTACTAACCGTAAGGTCCGTGGTTCGAACCCGATCTGCGTCTCTTGACTTCACCTGTCTAGGCTTGGGCAACCTGGCAGTATCCCAGCCCTCGTGCAAACTTCGGGTGGCATGGCAGTTAGGCACCAAAAGGGTGCTACAGCTGAACGGTTTCGTTTCGAATAAGGAACAAGAGTAGAGCTCGTTTCGTAGGCATGTATAACACATGGTCCATCCAAGTTGGCATGCGGTGCTGGGTGCTTTCTATGAGTGATGTACATTCTTCATCAGAGACCCGCCTCGAGATCACATTATTCCATATTCACGGGTTCCAGTCGACTTCAACCAAAAATCTGAGACAACAGTGGTCAAATCTTGAAACTGTTGTTACTAAAAAATGAGAATGTCGTCTGCACATTCCGGGTCGATAACGTTCTAGCTTGGAGAGATCTGAACAAGGTTTGACGACCTTCCAGGGTTAGTCTCAGTATATAGTCAATAACGAAACTACGAAAATGGGGGGTGAGTGTACTTGTCAGACACCACTGCTTGCCGTCAAGTGATAAAGGCTCCGCATACAGTCTCACGGGCCCAAAAGCATGTCTTTACAAACAACACATGATATTCACGGACTTTTGGAACATGCGTGTTGAAAGGAACTAACCAGTCGACAGAAAGCAATGCACTCTTGAAGTCAGGAGACCAGAGTGTAGGGTGCCTATTCACATGCCATTGCTGTAACTCTTGACGGCGTGCGAAGATGTGGTCCACGCAGTTCCTTCCCGGTCGGAAGCTTGATTGCTGTCCAGGAGTCCCTTGTTCACGCGCCTTCATAGGGCACAAAAAAGAGCCTAGTAACAATAGGGTCAAGTTGATTCCTCCTTCACTGCCACTCCCTGCGAGAACCCTAGTTGGAAGTGCGCAGCACTATCGACTCATCCCACTTAGGATGCTTTCTTACCTTCTGAGGCCAGTCAGTTGGAAAAGCATCTACCAAGGACATCAACTCGAACTTTGAACAGACTGGGTCGCAGTATCACAGGACCAGCAACTCGGTGACGCAGACAGGCGGCAGTCCTAACTATACCTGAAGTTAAATTCATTTCGGTCTGTTAAATATGAACGATGCACTGAAGGTACGTTGGTTCCAGCCGCTAGTTTCTGTCATTGGAAATTCGGAGTGGAGATACAGCCACCGTCAAAAGAGACTGAACCTTACCGTGGTGTGACGGTTTACGCAACTCATCGACCCATTGAGCTACACTTACAGGGTATCATACCAGGTTGGTCAATTGCTAGAGGTCTGACGAACAGTCTCCTGGCCCTCGAGGTTGGGGGTGGAACATGTGGCGACTTGTTCCGTAGAAATGGTAATGCATTTCCCGCTAAACACCTCTGCCTTGCGGCTAGATTTGGGCCAAATACTTTGGTTGAGGACCCTAAGCGTTCTTCTGTCTAGGTGTGGGCGCCCTGGCAGTATCCCAGCCCACATACAAATAAACTTATGCCACATCGACCGTCGCATGGTGCTATCTTGGACGAATATCCCAGTCGACCCGGAACATAACTTGATTCGACGAATTATCAGACGTCAAGTGAAGGAGAGCGTGCAAGCCGACCGTGAAGTGTGGTGGACACAGAAACCCGAGATGAAAGAAGCCCGGAAAGCCGGTAATACACGAAGATTATTCGTTGATCCGTGCGACAGGGCCTCGGAAACCACCTGTGAGTGAAACCATCAAGAATCGGGTAGCGTTCTCGAATAAATAAGAATGCCCCAAGCGTTGGGCCGAATACTTCGAACAACAATTGTCATGGCCACCAGCTGGCACACACCTGGAACCCACAGGTGAAGTACAAGCGACCCACAATCCTAGTGTTCCTGGATTTCCAAGGCGCATTCGACTCGGTTTACCGATCTGTTCTGCTTGACACGCTTGCCCACCAAGGAAAGCCCCGGAAGTTTGTAAACATAATACGTTCTTTGTATTCTCAGACTTCCGGACGCGTGAGAGCTCTCCAAAAGCTTCCGTACACAAAGCGGTGTCCGTCAGGGATGCCCACTCTCTCCATTTTAAAGTTGTGATCAATGAAATCATGAGATGAACGCTGAAAGGTCTTCAAACCCCGGTGTTCAGATACCCTGTGAAGAAAACCTTGTCGATCTGGAATATGCAGACGAAATCAATCTCATCTTCAAAGAGAGATGAACTGACTAAAGTCATCCTGTCCTACGGTATGCAGTTTGCATCCACAAAGTGTAAGGTCATGCTCCTGGACATGCAGCCACTGAACACGCCGCTTACAATCCAGGGGGGAAACACTCGAAGTTTTGCAGCATTTTATGTATCTTGGAAGTTGTACTGGTCCCGACTGTGTGACGGATGAGGTCAATGCACGAATCTGCAAGGTTCGGGTCGCGTTCGCTAATTTAAGACACTTATGGCGTCAAAGTGGTGTATCCCTGAATCTCAAGGGACGTCGTCTATCAAGCTACAAGGCAGACAGTTTCGTTGTAGAGCTGTGAGACTTGACCTGTTCGAGCAGCGGAACTGAGACGCCTTCAGGTGTTCGTCAATCAATGTCCCAGAAGCATTGCTGGTTTGGGTTCGTGTCGGCGTATCCGTAACGAGGCAATTAAAAAACGAGTTTTCGGTTATGCAACGGGCTCCTCCATTAAAACGTGTCCAGCAACAGAAGCTGCGTTGGTCGGGCATGTGTTGCGTATGCTGAACCATCGTTTGTCGAATAGAGTGTTGTTTTCCGTGCCAGAGTGGAGGAAGCAGAGGTATTCAGCCCTTAACCTCGTAGAGGGGTACGAAGGAAATTACGAAACGTTTGGTTGCTGTCAGTGCTAGTCACATTCCAAAATGAGGACTGTGTGCTCCCACAGTGCCCGGCTGGAGACACTACGGGATATGGCTGCCGACCCATGTCAGTGGCGTTCTCGTTGTCAGTTTCTATCCAGATTACCTGATTGAGTGTATGGAGGTGAAGGCACCTGGGAACGAGCTAACCTCAAGTCCCTTCCTCATCCACATTTCTTCTCTTCTTCACAATAAGGCTCTCAATTAAATCACGGTTGTACTGCAGCGAAGCATCGGTGTTGAACACTGATGTCATGCCGTCGATGATGACTGGAGAGGATTCACGGTGTAGAGTAGTCACGGCACCGTTTAAGTCAGTATGTTTCGATGGAGCAATGAAGGCCCGCCCCCTCGGTGTTCTGGAGGGGCATGTTTCTTCCGCTGATGTCATCCTCTCGATGATGATGAGATACAGCTAAGCACTGGAGGCGATGGCGGAATCGGTTCATTCGTTTTGAACCAGTCTAATTATCTAAAAATACGGGAAACAGGACAGCTCGGAAGCAGGAGCGCCACTGACTGTGCCATGCTTGCCATTGCCATTAACTCCTGAGGGATTGAGTCGAAAATTACGAAAAAGGGAGGACGCAGTTATGAGCTTGACTGAATTTTACTACTCCGTGATGACTGTTCACCTCTCGGTTGCTTCCTCTCAGAAAAGGTCCGGGAAAAGAGCGCTGCGAGGCAGACGGTCCCCTGAATTGTGAAACACGTCCTAACCAATGTATCCTAGGAAAACAAGGTAGCTCACCCATTTCTGGAACGTTCCTTCATGATCGGATGTTTTCATCAGATCAAACCAGTGAATAGGAAAAACAGATCAATTTTGTGCATTCCACGGGCGCAGAGGTTGTGTACTTGATCGGAAAGCTGCAGCGTATACTTTGCCTCCCTAGCAAACTGACGTCATATGGGCACCCTGGGTGTCGGAGATGGCATCCTAGCTCCAAAATTCAAAAGTAACCTCGTTTTCAGTCGGTCCACCAAGCAAGAAAATTTATCTATTTTAGCTGGTCTGCAAGCAGGCTGCTTGCGTCTGATCCCACTCGTTCTCCAAATACCGATTTACATGCAGCAGATGTGAAGCACATGTCAAAAAGTGCGGCGGAATTACTGAGACAATGGTGGATAGGTGTTATAGGTTGGACCGATGGGCAACCCATACACGGGGCAAAGCTGGCGACGATGTTATGTACCACGAGGTCAGTGTATACTGTACAAGTAACGTCCATGGAACCTACTCGAGGGCACAAATAATTGTCATGGACAGAGATACATCGATAGTAGAACCTGATACTCAACTATTAAATGGCAACGATGATGCAGGTCTCGGCAAATAAAGGAAATAAAGTGTGTACCGATTGCAATTAGCTGCAATTGCAAACTGAGAAGCCGTCGCCACCCCGATCGTTCTGAGGTACTTACATCTCCATGTACCCCGTAAACACAAGCCGGACTCTAGTTGACATGAGCATCAGCCAATGAGTCCCGATGCCAATGTGTACTGAGGACCTGCCGCGTACCCAATACATGCACGATCGTCCGTCCTGCACTCGCCTAATGAAACAGAATGGGCGCGGACTTACACCCCGAAGGACAGTGTTTCGAACCCAAACCGCGGCGCTTAGACTGCTCTTGTCTGGGCAACGTGGAAGTATGTCAGCCCTCGAGCTTCCCTCAGGTGGTCTGGTAAGCACCGAAGTGTTAGAGCTAAATGACTGTCGACAAAGGAAGCTGTCGAAATGAACGAGCCTGGGAAAAACGATCAAGTGTTTGGTGCCAACAACTTCCAAGGCTATCGAATCATGGGTACCTGAGTAACGTCAGGGCAGTCCCCCTGCAAGATTAACTGGCCGTCCTCTCCAAAATTTACTCGACAAACGACTGCACACAAAGACCAAATCTGAGCGGGTAGACCGGCTTGAGGCACGACAGGCTGGACAATAACCTTATACTATCCTCTCAGGTTTCATAGCACATGGGAGAAACTACATGCACTGGAATGAGGGGTGGAAATTCGAAGGCACATCTCAGGTAGCCGCCGTGATTTCATGTGAAAATATGTTCTGCAAACTTCCAAGGCTTCATCCATATCCGTTAAAAGATTTGGTGGCTCTCTCCTGTCAATTTTACAAGCCTTGCAGAAAACCCTGAAAACCCGGAATATCGGTCATTGGAATACGCCACACTCCTGTGTGGAGTTAATCCTGGAGAAAATGTAGTGCGTACCAAGTTCCGGAAAAATTTGAAACGAAACTGTGTATTAATGAACGCGAATAGCAATATACCAAACAGCCCTTATTCACGGATTGATAAAAATGGACGATGTTTTTGCCCACGCTTCCCGGGTAACAACCAAGCTGATATGTACACGAGGCCACGGTAAACTCACGGATGTTACTGTTCTCAGAGGAGGCTTGCTGCCGTGTGGCACCGGAAGGGAAGCTACAGTTGAAAATGACCGAACGTCCAGTTGGTTTCACCAGACGGATCCGGATGTCTGGGCGGGCCTCCAAAGTTGGCGCTTCCTCTTTTTTCTCAGATAACTCGTCTTCAGCTTCATCAAACTCAGGATTGACGCTCCCCGCAAGGTCGACTTCTATTTCCACGCAACTGCACCACAATCATTAGTGAGAAAAGGTTAACCATACACGCCATCTGAGTATTCCTTCCGCAGCAATATTTCAGTGCCATCAGACTTTTCCACAGAGAATCCTTTGGGTGGGCTGCTATCGTAAACGTTCTCTTTCTCTTGTTTTATCTCCTTCGAAAGCACTTCTGTGAAGTGTCTATCAACTAAACGAAATACGGCACACTGTTGAACACCTTACCTTGCGACGAATACCACTTCTGAACTGTTGAAAATAGTGGAGCTCGTGATTGCACTCGAAGTAAAGTGAAATGCGTTGTTCTCGGAATTGCCCGAATGGCGGATGGACCAACAGCGGATAACGATTTCAGGGCACGCAGGATGGAGCGCGACATCACGCCTAAATTCAAGTTTTGCGCGCTAAGTTCACGTTCGGCTATGCATTAAAACACAGTCGTCGAAGCACAGTATGCTATGAGTACTAGAACAGTTATTGTCGTTTATTCGCTATGACAGCGGTAATAAAATAAGTGCTTAATCGGTGTCAGGCCATATACTGTATGGCAGAGCGCCATTTGAATATGACCTCACCTGCCCGTCCAGAACGACTCACTATTAGCATTTGAGTTATGTTGAACTACCAAACGGACTCATTCGCATTTGTTTGATCTGCACTTTCTCATTCCTTCTGAAAACTATCCGAACGACTTATCCTTCGGAGCATGAACTCGAATGGCTGCACAAAGTGTGACAACATTCGATGTGAGCGTACCAGTCCTACACTACCTAGGAAGTTCCAGTTTTTAACCCTAGCTCGTTTTACTAGCACAGGTGAGTGATTTTCATTGTCTCCCTTGTCATGATCGAACTAGCGCCGACGGTACTTCATGTAATTTAGAACTGATCCGTTAATGTGTTAGCTGCTGAGTAAATCCTGAAACTTGTGGCGTTTTTGTACCTTTATTTTACTTCCATTATAACACTACGTATTTCATCAATTGCATAATCTTTTTGTTTAAATACAAAAAGCTCCAAAAACGCCACGTCGGGCTCACCAAATTTGTAGTGGTCTTGATACTTAATAAGTTAGTTTACCAGGAGTGTGTGGCAAAGAAATAAAAATAATTACGCTAGGTTGGGTATAAAAAAATAAAGAGATCAGATGGAACAGACTCACTAACAATTGTTCTCTTTAAAATAGCTCGTCGTTGGCCCAGGTCAGCGAATGAACAAGAATCCAATTATGTTGGTCCAGAGGTCTTCTTCCGAACAGTTCCCACATATAATAGATCCCGAAGGTGTCTGAAATGTTTTGGTACCAGAGTTAGTACATGAGACTCGCGAATGACCGCTGCAAGCGCGAGTGAAATCAGAAGAGAGAATCGAAGCACGTGACCACGCTTGTACTGTGTGAAATTGTACAAGTGAGCGTTTTTTTTAGTTTTTCGTATATAAACAAAAAACGATTTTATAATTGATGAAATACGTAGTGTTATAATGGAAGTAAAATAAAGGTACAAAAGCGCCTGTAGAATAGACTGTAGAATACTCTACTGCAGATAATGTTCTGTTGGGTGTTCGTTGAAATCTAACATGTGGTCTTAGGGGCCTCTTCGTAACATGCCCTAGTGAAGTGCATGCTGATGAGCGACTCCACTTTTGCCTAGGATCGCCCCGGCACGCTTGTGAACAGACTGCGCCTCCAGTTGTTCCAATTTTTGTTCAACATTCCGCATAGACTAGCAGGTTTGCAACCATGACCCGCAACCAGTGAAATCGGGCAACATCCTTGTTCTTGCGTAACTCTATTTTAGTCGTAAAACAGTTCACAGAGGAGTTGAGTAGCATATGCATAGTAGATTACCTGAAGTGTAACAAAGCACAAAATTTGATTTCGCGTCTGAAGTTTGTGACATTATAATGAAAGGTGCTTCATAAATCTGAACATCCGAACTGCACTTCGATGAAAGAAAGGCGATCCTGCTCTCTTAGAACCCACAAATGTGAGCATGACTGGCTTTGCCTCTACAATGGCATGTTTAAAATGACAGCCATCTCAGATCAACGGAGTTTAGTTGGTTAGTTTAGTTAGTTTAGTTGGTAGTTGATCGATAAGATGGGGCTGAGGGTGGGTTCTAATCAGTTACTTATTTCTAAGGCTAGTAGTAGTTGACTTATTCCGCACAAACCAGCTGGCTCTAACATCATGTTTCTAAGTTTACTTCAAGGAATACCCATGGCATCAACTACTGACGCTCAAAGACTACAAATGGAGTGTGAGTAGCACTCGGTGATGAGCATTCTCTCGATATGAGCAAAAATGCATTTGAAACATTTGTTAGGATGATCATTAACTGACTACCTTATAGAGTCACGGATGAAGGACAGTTTCACTGATCGGGTTGGTCGTACACGAGCACAACACGAACATTTATCCTAGCTAATCAAACGGAATCGATGTGTGTTCTCGAGGAATCCGAGTTGCTATGAAGCAGACGGTGTACCTTAGGAGTATAGGTGAAACACTTCGGTGAACATCTTCCTGGAATACTGACTTCGAAATCATATGCATTATTTGTCAAAGCAACGGGGTTACATATTTATTCCCGGAGATCGCTGAACATTTCCTGCTTTCCATTTTAATCGCATCCCTCTGTTAACTAATAAACTGTTTTCGGTCAGTAGGTTTGTCCGTTTAAAACTGCACATCCCGCTTATGTCATATGTAGATTCTCACGAAAAGCAGGATGTCCTACTGGAGCAACTGAAAACTTGCTGTGCACGCCTGATGGATGCCGCATCGGTGAAGAATTCGTTATCAGAGGACAGCGAACTTGTAACGGATTTCTGTGGTCAGTGCTTGTTCGTTAGTTTCTATGAATATGCTGGTGAGGTACCCTTACTATCTGGCTTTTATCTGTTATTCTGACAATAAATACACGCTGAAAGCCCTTAAGACAATATATCAACATTGTGACTCAGGCTTCCCACTAGCTTGACAAATTAATATAAGCAAACACTGGAAGTGGCTGTTGCTGGTAGCAAAGCAAGGGGGAAATTTTTGTGACTCGATTGGTCGAAAGTCAAAGCGAATCATCTTGGGTTTCTGTTGCCTTGCTTAATTCTTAGTCATATCTAAGTGAACTTTGCCATTGACATAATATTTCAACGGATACATGTTTAGATGGACATAGCCTATAGACCAAAGAACACACCTACGTCACTGAAAATAGCTTCATCAACCGTAACAATTAGTTCTGATGAGCGATCCAGGTTTGACGCTCGGTTGGTGGAAAGTTTAGGATGGTCACTCGACTACTCATGAGTAATCGAGTTTCCTGGCCCATTCACCTCAAAAGCCACACGGAGTATGACTACAAAGTGGAAAACTTGTCTGGCACGTTAGATGACGGAATTTGAAATCCCGACGAGTCTGTGACCACGCTTTACGAATGTGATCTAGTTGAGTTCACAAACTTTCCCTCAAAATACACATGAGTGTCAAGTGTATATCAGGTCCTTCGAGAGAATCCATAATCATACAGATAAAACTGTCTGAATATTGAACAGCAGCAAGGCTGTCTTTTGTACTGTGAACTTCACCAGAGGTATCTCACCCCATTCTAAAAACCGTCACAAACCTTTCGTGTAGTATGATTTTATCTGTACATTTTAGGGGTTAAATCAATGCTTGTAGCACATCCTGAGCAAGTTAAATAAAAACCAAGCCTGAGGTGTGACAGAAAACTCGCGCTGCACTATCAAACGCCAGTGAGCTCAAGTGGATCGGGTATGAAGCATTTATCGATCAGCCACTTGGTCCCAGTTTGAAGTGATAACTTCAGGTTGACATTCTGAATACTCATAATGGGGGTGAAATTAAGCTTGTAATCAATATCTCCCATGTCGTGAACGTTATAAATCCTGTTGCTCTACTTTATTGAACACTTCCCCAACGCCTCAGTTTGCTTACAGATCGTTCCTTTACCTGTAGCAACTCGGTAAAATACCGACGCCTCAGCTATGCAACTTAACCTTGATTTCTGTGAACAAAACCCGGTGTTAGCTGTTATTTACACTCTTCGAATTTAGTTGGTTTTGGGGTTGTTTATTCATTTATTCATTCGGACTGTTCACTAACCCAACAACTAGTTATTCCCGACGGTATTGTACGTTCGTTGTTTTTTCTCTGAAAAAACTCGAATTTCAACACATTTAAAATTGTTTTGCTCCCGACCGTAGATTCGAGCCGTTTATTCACATAAAACATCCAGGTGCAAATGTATGCGTTGCATGCTCGCCTGACTGCCGACACATGCTAGGCATGCTGCTTGCCTGTAACAATGGAGTGAGTTGCTCTGGGTAAATCGATGCGTTGGGAAACGGAAATCGATGTAAGCTGGTTAGCTCTGCTTATCGAGAGTTGAACAGAGGAGCGTGATGGCGCACGTGTGTGTGTGAATGCTTATGTGCATAGTTTTACTGGGTGTGCGGGAAATTCTGGACTTTACTAGTATGACCCCACTTGGGCAAATGAGAGACACCTAGAATAAGTTATATCGTTGATTCGAAAACTTAGGTATCCATAGCCTGGACAGAATGTTTTTCCGGAATACACCCTTACAACAAGCAAGCAAGCCAGTCAGTCGCTGCTCGGTCGCCAGGTTGAACATATTAGCTTCTTACCACCTGGTTAGACTGAGCTTAAACTGATATACTATCACAGTCATTCCGTTTTTCCAGAATACATCAACGTCTGCCTACGATGGAGAACATATGAAACCCAGTCTGCGGGATAACTGCATGCATGCCAAAAGATACCCATTAGTCATGATGCTCTTTGTGCCCCGTATGATGTGGAATCCTAAAATGAGTGTGCGGATATCCGTTCCTAGTTGAGAAAAGCAATAAGCTGTCTTTGTTTCAGACGTGCGGCGCCCTGTCACTGTTCTTTACCGGTCTTTATACGGTATAAATGCGCACATGATATGTCCGTATCACGATATGCTATCTGTAGAGTAAGCCCAAGAAGTACTCAATATGGTTATCATGTGAGCTGTAGGCCCGTACATTAAAAATTCACATAGTAAGGTTGAGTTGACACAAGTCTTTTTGGGTTGTTAGGCCATGCGCATCGATATAGTGTTCACTTCCAACATTACAAAAAAGAAAGCGTTCAGCTGTAGCACCTTCTCGGTGCCTAGATGCCCTGCAACCCAAAGGAAGCACGAGGGCTGGGGTACTGCCAGGTTGCCGAAGCCTAGACAGGGGAAGTCGAGAGACAGAGGTCGAACCATAAACCTTTCGTTCAGTAAATTCGCGCTCTAACCACTGATCCATCTCGAACACTATACCCTTTCATTAGTCTGGTTTGCAGAGTAGCCACTTGATTGCGAGTCACCTTCGTTATCAGGATTTCCTACGCAAACCATTACCCTACTCTCTTTTGTAGCTTCGTTAACTGAAACCCATTCGCTATCCTGTCAAATTCTATTTGCGTCATATTTCTTTATTCGCAACCAACAAAGTGAACCTACTCCATCACTGAACGTTTCCACCTTCAACAAATAATTGCAGATTTGTTTCATTTGCTGTCGAGAATGTCGCTATTTTTCAGCCTGAGTACTTTGCTTCGGCACTCAACTCTGGAAAGTACCTATGAATGTCACATGGACATTTCTAGATTTGTAAACTGAACGCACATGTTTGGTGCAGCTATTGCTGCTACCAATGGAACCAGTGTGCCTGTGGTACGTGCTTTATAGCTGATAAATTGGGCTGAACTGAATTGTAGGAGAGGGGATAGACTTAATTGGGAAGCAATTCTCCTTCAGTACCACTGTCAGCGTCTGTTCGCACTAGATTGGTGTCACTGTAGCAGTCGTCCGATTGTGAGCAACTAGGGTAGTGCCTGACCTTTTTTTGCTTTCCGTTTCGTGTTGATTTATGGGCACTTTGCAACTCAGGGGGACATGCTCATTGGTATTCATTTTTGCCGGTTTATCGGGGGAGCCTATTACAAATACACAAAAACTAGGTGACCTCAGTGGCATTACCTCGGATGGTAACTGATAAATCATCTGTGTCACTTTATTAGCAACCAATGAACGGTGGTTTTGAAATCCTGTTCATTTACCTTCTATACTAGTAAGTATAGATGAAGAATTATTGGACCATACTCTATCCGCCATTACAAACGGAGTTAGAGAATACATAATATAATTGATGTAGAGGAGACGGGGATCTGAATGCTCTCCAAAAGGAACCTAGGCAAAGGTAATGCGAGCTGAATGCCAAGGGGCCTTCGACTGTACTCGAACCCGAAACTTCACTTTCATCAGACGAATGTTCTACCAGAAACTGTCTCATAAATGTGCCCTTGGTTCCGTAATGTTGCGCCACAGCTCAACGTAATAGAATTTTACAGTTGATGTCTGCTAGGGCTGGAGGGTGCACCACTTTTAAGTTCCACTATAGACCAGACACTGATATCTCCAAGATACCTGAAATATTTGGATTAACGCAGAAGGGATGCAGATTTTAAACACTCTTGAACCTAAAACATCCCTTTGATTGGACTGCAGCTCGCGATTTCTTGCTTACCAGTACTGCAATCGCCCGGTACCAGCTTTACAATTTAATTAATTTGACCTGTGGATTTTCAAAAGTGACTATTCAGTTTCGGTGGTAAAAATATCTCATTGATCAACTCACTCACTCGCCTGTGGCGCATGGACTAGCAGCAAAGGTTTCGGGATGTAAGAGTTAATGAAGTTCACTTATGAGAACCACGTAAAATGGATTACCCACAGGCGGAGGTGCTACTTGAAAAACTTGAGAGCCTTACTCTCATAAACAAATTGATTAGTGTTGGTAGTATAGGGAGACTTTTGAATTGTTGCTTGATATTTTGTTCTGTATGTAAAGTCAACACATTCCGAAGAGCTGAGAAGCGCTGTACAGCTGTTGCATCCTTATTGGGAATCACCAGCGATGCCCTTCTCATGATACTCCAGGGAGCTAAGAATATGCAGCCGTTCGGCTACGAGCATCTGATCAGCAGTTTGATTAACTCGCACTTAGATAAGATATAGCGCCGCTCATCCTTCAGTATCGTTCAGCTGTAACACCCTTCCGATGTCTAGCTGCCATGCTACCCGAAGGAAGCACGAGGGCTGGGATACTGCCAGGTTTCCCAAGTGTAGACAGGGGAAGTCAAGTGGCAAATGTCGGGTTCGAACCACGGACCTTGCGGTTAGTAAATTCGCACTCTAACCAGTTGAGCCATCCTTCATTAGCAGAAGCCACTCCACATAATTGCGTGTTGATTGGATCCTCGAGTGACGATTTCTCAGATGAGAGCTTCGATTCTTTGAGCAAGTCACACACTAATGGCAGTGTGGAGATTTGTAGATTTTTAAACGGAGATTTCTTTGTGTACGTGAAGTCCATCCATACCGAAAATTCGAGATCAATTTTCACTCGGTTGTCCAGCTTGTGCAGCACGTTTTCAGGATTTACACACTCAGAAGGATTTTGTAACAGACGCCTGTCAAGAAGTCCTCTGTCTGCAATTCCGACCGTGACCAGAACAGTCGATGACATGGTGGAATACGAAAAGCCTGTTCGCCCCTACCCATGAACCATAATGAGAAGGTTCCAAAGGTAGCAATTTAGTTATCGCCTGGACCTCTGTTATAGGTTTGCAGCAATAGTGATATAACCGTTGCTTTTGACATTTTTTATTGAGCTGAACTGCCCCCAAGGCCCTTTGCACGAGTCCAAGAAAGCTTTATTCAGACATTTCATGAAGTTTTCTTCACTTTCATAGCTGTGTGTTGAACTTTTACAAGGAGCTTTCAGCATTGTTTACCTCAGAGTCTCTATAGCGTACATGGAAAAAATCGTAAAAGTTAGCTTTAGATCTCCAAGCTTCAGCAGATGGGTAACGTCAGTTGGGGAGAACTGGCAGGTCTGTCTTCTCTATTATGATTTGATATTAGGGGTATAAGTCCTTTCGGCATTCCTGGTCTGAACTAGCAATTCGGACTGATAATAGCTGTACTCTGAGAATAGCAGTAACTGTGCTACTACCTGCCAGGGTATTCTTCAGACCACAAAATGAAGCAAATCATAAATCGCAAGACTATTTAGCTGAAAAATTGTCTCTAGAGGAGCAAATCAGCAATGGACAATGTAATGGGAACCGCGAAATTAAAATGCGTTGGTGTCATTGTAATGTACTACTCATAAGGTTGCTGAAAATTCGTCGACGGCTCAGGACCGGTTACGCCCATTTTGGGGCTCATCAGGTAGGCGCAGTCCCCGTGTTTCCGTCAACCTTATGTTCTACTTGAAACCAAATTGCACGAAATTAGCGAATATACACTCATTTGCAAACTAATTTGTCTCTTTCGAGAGGCTCACCCGGAACCCAGCGAATCTCTCGTTTGTGATGTTCTCAAGCAACGGAATGTGCCGCACCAAGCCACCTCCTGTTTCAGTCGCTACGTTATTCGAGATATCGCGATACATGTATATATTTGTAATGTGCTACTCATAAGGTTGCTGAAAATCCGTCGACAGCGAGAGAGATTCAGCTGGGTTCCGGGTGAGTCTCTCGAAAGAACCAAATTAGTTTGCAAATGGGTGTTTATTCGCTAATGTTGGTGTAATATTATTAATTCACATGTGTCACATTGTTGAGCCACCAATCGTCATCAATTGGAAAAACGATCAATCGAGGTCTCAATTCTCTTGTGAATCTTCCCAGCAGGGATGGAACAGCTACTTGGGTGGAACTGCTCATGTTGGCTTCACTTGCAAGGCAAAATCCCTGTTGAAACCTCAGGGTCTTTCCGAAATCTTTCAGAAGCAAAACTGAAAGTTTTTGTAATGCACTGTAGTTATTTTTTTGCACATGATCTCCCTGGAAGTGAGCACTAGGTCTTTTCCGTGCCCCCACCAACCCCAATCAAAGTAACTGGGCATCGGGTAGATTTCTGCCCGCTTTTGTTGTCTTTCCAGTAAACTTCAAGATCTCCCTGGTCAGATCCTTTTATACTCACTACTTAGCAATCCTAAAAGCGACACCCTGGAACGATCTTGGTAAATTTCGGAACAGTTTTGGGCTTCAACAAACCTATCGGTCTGGAACTATACTTTAGTAGACAGATGTTGACATACATTTGTCGGGTTTGATGCTGACCGTAGCCTTTTTGATCGTTAGTTGTTGACCGGACTCAATACTAGTGTTAGTCACCCACATTGCTTAATCGTTTGCAAACTGAGCTGAACTCAGCTGGTCAGGTTAGGATGAAGCTGGTGTTTTTATATAATCCAACTGGGCATCTGGATCCAAGCTGTCTCAAAATGCACGTGTGATGATGGTCAAGGTGGTGAATGAATGTCTTTAGACGGACCGGTGCCTGTTTTGTTCCAACTGAGAATCACCAGGTGAGCATGATTCCAAGCCATTGGAATGTTTGCAAGTTTGTACTCACATGTTAGTTGATTGAGCTTTCTTCGGCGATGAACTGGATGTGTTCTTAGATCTTACGTATTGTAGTGTTCTTCTAATGTCCTAATGTTCTTCTGATGTCCCAATGTTCGTCCAGTGTCATCATTCGTCATCACTATGGGGTCATCCGCACCGAATATAACAAATAGTCAAGTAGATTTAGCGTTGTGTCCACCACACTGAAGAGTGCAGTAGAGGACAAAGGAAAACGGTCTTCGAGACATGCACCCATTTGCAAATCAATTTGGTTTTCAAGAGACTCAACTGAATCTCTCGTTTATGATGTTCTACAACTGAATATGCTGTACACAGGCCGCCTCATGTTTCAATTGGTACGATATTCGGGATATCGCAGTGTATTTTCATAAAGGAAACTACTCACAAGGTTGCTGAAAACTCTTCGACAGTCCACGACTGGTTTCACTCTTCTTGGGGCTCATCAGGTAGGCGCAATCCCGAGTTTCCATCAACCTTATGTTCTACTTGAAACCAAATTGATTTGCAAATGAGTGTATTTCTAGAAAACAGTGCAATTCGGGTTCAAGTAGATCATGAGGTTGACGGAAACTCGTGGACGGCGCCTACCTGATGAACCCCAAAAAGGGCGAAACCAGTTGTGGGCTGTCGAAGAGTTTCCAGCAACCTTGTGAGTAGTTTCCTCCATGAAAACAGTCGTGATTGGAATTCTGTTGTTCAACATTTCAGCCACATAGGACAGCAGCTAACAGGAGCGAATTAATTACAAATCACTGAGACAAGAAAATACCCACCACTGTTGGTGTCAATAGTGAAACGACCGAGCTTCTATGCGCTGTTCTAATCCGTGGCGTCTAATTTCACTGTTTCTGTTGTTTGATCGTCCTGTCTATACGGCACTCATTTGTTGACTGTCATTGCTGTGATAAATGCGTGGTAATGGGCCGTACTGTCGCACCACTACACAGCTCGGTTGGTGATGAAACGTTTGCAATCCCATTGCTCAGTTCATCGAAGAGAACAATGACGACCTATACAACGTGAGCTACTAGTATTTCCCTTAAAAGCAAATCAGAATTTCTGTACTACAAACGTCTACATACCGTTGTAAGTTGGTCTGGTGTATGTTGGTTTGATCATAACATGCCCCGTAGTCCACAATCCCAAATCATAAAATGTATGACCCTACCATCGATTTCATTTGTAGATATCGTTGAGGCTTGTCTTCGGTTTGGTTTGGAGAAACATCTGTTCTATCCTGAGCCAACAACCTACAACCTGTTGCAGAATATCTCCGACAAATGCTCAGAAGCTGCGCATGTTTTGAAGGTGGTTGATGAAAACAGGAGGACTAAAGCCTTACCTGACGCTTCACTCAAACTTAGTCACAATCGAATAGGCCTTGTTAGGTCACCGCTAATCCTCAGACGTCTTCAGGGACACCATCGCCTGTGAGTTTTTCATGCTACTCCGTTCTGATTTGGTGTTTTCTTGGTTTGTCGGACTCTTAATTTCTGGACTCAACTTTACAGTTGTTACAATTTTATCCTTTCTGCCAACACATCAGTTCTGCTAAACAAGCTCAATTTTTTGTCGTTTGTGTAGTTTTTTCCCTTGTAGAAGTTACGTTATAGAGTGTCCTATTTTGATGATGCTCACATCATTTCTGGCAAAATCTTATCCTCATCTCCCCACGATGGTTCGGGGGAAACAATGTGTCGTTGAAGAAAGACAAAGAGGTCATATACGGTTCCACTCTCGCTATTTTCTGTTTATTTATCCAAACTATTCCAACTGCTTCTGTGGCTTCGGCCCACAATAGGCTTTTAGTTCACATTGGAATATAACAAACCTGATATCGGACACACGTAAAAAAACGATAGACTCACCCTAAATTAAATACTGCCTTAAGCCGAAAATTGACTAAGGAGTTGTTCACAGAACATGGAACAATCAGTGGATGGCCAAACGTCGTGTACTGTGACATTTTTTGGACTGAATAACGATGATTATGGTATCTGTTCCTCTTGATTTAGGATAAAACAAGCTACCCACGATGGTGAAATAAAGCTACTTTTTAATGACAACATATAAGGGTATTTGATAAGGAGAAGCCGCACCCATTGATCAACAAGATTCACACAAGATTTACGACTTCGTGTACAACTATTGACTCTCAGCTCAGAGCGTTTTGCTCATTTACCGCTTTTTTTCTTCCGCTTACTGCAAAACTGGAAGGCTTTTTCCGACTGCATTTTTACCACTCCAACTTACAAACTGTAACACCTTGAATGACATTGGGAATGTCACTTTGCCAACCGTCGGCTGCACGCTTCATCATATTGTCGACCTCTTTTCGGATTTATATTTTCAATTTTACCACGTCACTCCTGTTGCATCGGTGTGGTTTTGGGTTATTTAAAAACCAATGTAAAAACCCGTTTCCGTAAGAAGTAAAAGGAACCAAGGTCAACGTGTAAGTTATCTTAGACGGGGACATTTTAACCACAACTCGTCATCGATGTAAAGTGGAAACAATTAGGAATGCTTGGACACTAGGTTTAGGAGGCTATTGCATGTGTGGAAGTGTTGGAGTGTTATATCTGCTGCTGACCCACTCCAGTGCCCAGTGCCTGAAAAAAGACTCACAGAGGGGAACACAACAGCTGTATTCCGAACAAACGAGTGAGTGCGTGCGAGAGCAAAATTTACAACGGCTCCACGCTATTTAAAGGGGACTTTCTGACATTGATCCAGGCTGTCTGATAGGCGTTAGTGAACACCCGTCAACATCGATCATGCCCCCATGAAATGCCTGAACGCTGATCCCATTCAGTCGTGCTTCTGTGGCGTGCATGAACACTCATCGGCTTTTGCTGAATGGCCTGGATGCATGCCGGCTTTCCTGTTGAGATTTTGGTGGAGCAGTAGGTTCCAGGCGTTCTGAGATTACTTCCAGGAATGGAATATTGGGAAATGCAGAGATAGTGTTTCAAGAGTCACGTGATTATTAGCGATCACTAAACATCTAAAGCGATCGTTGGCATGGTCTTATGAGTAGTACAATGAGCTGTAACGTCCCGTTTATCCTCGTATTCCTTGATCTCTTATGCTAGTCACATTCCATACATACCCCAGTGCGTCATGAGACAGCCAGTTTTGCATGGGTCTCCAAGTTCATTCAAGCAATTCAGCAGTCAACAGAGGCCGTACAGTCGCAAATAATTTTCGACTGTAAATATATCGTTGAAGAAGCTGCTAGTGATGTGCAGTACGAAAAATTCCCTCTTTCTGATTGGTATTTCCTCAGCCTGTATTAAAACTAACACGTTTTCCCGCAATATAAATCGATTTCACTTACTTCTGATTGACGGACAAGAGATCAGACGCATTCCTATGCATGCGTATGCGCTAATTTCAAATTACTTATTTGGCTCATTGAACATAGCGTGAATTAACAAAGTTACTTCACTCTTTTGAATTCTCAACAATCATCTGAAGAACGGAGATTAAGTCATGGCTAAAGTTGGCCATTTGTGTCCCCTGTTTTTCAATTCATTTTCACGTGTTCAGTATAATCCGCCAGAACAAAGAAAGGAAAGGGTACTGGATTGTCCCTAACATCTCCTCTTGTGTAGGGACTCCCATCTCTCCCTGTTACGATGTTCTCGCCCACCTAAACGTATAATCCGTGTGCACTAAATTGTCGTCCGAAGGCGTTTTTTCCATTTAAAAAAGCTCCAATATTACTCCTGTTTTGTGTATTTTTTGGCTGATTTCACCCACAGGACAACAAATCAATCGCGATGGATACATGTGGCCCTGACAGAGAACGTCTTGTGCAAAATCGTTGAATGCATTATTCAATACTGCAGGCAAGTTGAATGAAGTACTTTTCCAGTGTTCTATAGATCATCTTAGTCGGGCAAATCCTTTTAATTCGGCAAAATGAATTCAGTAGTAGAGATCATCAAAGCGTTTTTAATTTTCATGCTTGGTAAATTAATGACACAAGGACAGAAGGAAGGCGTCGTTTCTTGTGCTAAACCGAACACACGAATAGGTTGCATCACGTGCACATTGTCTGCGCTTTTTCTGTGCCCTCGTTTTTGTCTGACACTTGTTTTAAATTTATGATCTTCCGTCGCTTAAAAGCAGTGAACTTTGGGTCTATTGGTGGGAATCACCGCGAGTTTGAGTACAGAGCTATCTTGTAACAGTGGGCCGTTGTCCACCCGGAAATACATCTAAGAGGGGTGAACTTTTATGTGAGAAGGCGAATTCCTACCATAGAATTTATCTCACCTGACGTCTTCCCCAAAGGAAGTTTCACACCAACAGTGTGTACTCTTAAATCATAGTTAGCACGCTTTGAGTGATCATTTCAACCCATGTCACATGCATACTTTTCTAATCTGTCACCCAAAGGTATCACTTTATTCAGAAATTTGAAAGACCATTGGTGTGTCAAGTTAAAATTGCCATCACAAAGTTCGCTTGTATAAATGGAATCCTTGCTAGCTGCGCGTCAACCTCATCTGATGAGCTTGAATTCATCCCTGCAACGTATCTGTTGGTCTGGTAGCTGTTGATCTGTTCGCCGAGTATGGCGGTTAACTTGCAATCGCCACATCACCAAACGGGAAGGCATCATGAATGCGCAGTTGATGTATGAGAATGTCTGCTCGTTCGGTGATGAAACGCCAATTTCGGTTGACAGATCAACAGCCACCCGACCAGCTACCAACTCGAGTCATCTCACCTAATCACACTGAAGTTAGGAGTTGTTAAAATGTCCGGTCAGCAGGTAACCTGGTATTTTGACACATGAAATGTGACAAATTATAGTTTGGCACAAAGTGCGGGTAAGTAGCTGGACGAATGTACCGTTTAAATAGAACTGCCGATACTAATGGTAAGGTACCAAGGTATAAAAAATAACCTATCAGATGCGGACTGATTTATTGAGAAGCGCACCTGAACCGTTTACAGTAAGCTTGACACAACAGTGAAACACTGACATGCACACAGTTCCAGAAACTGGATCCAGTCAGACGTAATCATGGAATTTCACTAAGCGTGAACTAAACGCTAGCCACCAACCAAAAGGTGCGGGTGAATAAACGAATGATTACTTGTTTTCTTTGCCTGTTTTACTTTACCTGTTTTCCTTTTAAGGGCAAACAACATGGAGAATTCATCAGTAAGTACGACTTACTCCCAATAAGCAGAATAAATAAATACTATGGTGCACCCATCTGAAAGCTGAGTATCCCTTGTCGCTACTTGACGTTTTTTGATGGGTACGACTCGCTTAAGTAGTTTTCGTCTAACGAGCGAAGCAACATCGTTCCACCGAAAAAAAACTGTTGAACACCCGTATAGTGGTCGTTTCGTTCATACTAGAGACCTGTGGATCCTCACATTGGTAGATTTAAACTGCTTCCCTTTCGAGTACCGGAGGTTTTGTTATCAGGGAGGATTGACTACACAAGCAAACCATTTTTGTCAGGCTTATTCCTTTCTAAGTGTTTCATAGTTGGGAGGTTCACATAGAAATGGAGCGCTCCTTTCAAAATGTCCAGGGCTTAGAACTGTTGATAAGTGCTTCACTCTTCGATGGATGTTTCCTATGAGAAATCAACATTTGTTGTCGGTCCTAATACAGTGTTTGATTTGTCGGTATGTCCGAATTTTGGTCCCTTTGGTGGATTTATAAGCTCTCGCTCAGGCGGTCGAACTTCCAGGAAAAGGATAGCTGTTTCTTAAGACTGAACTATGTAGCCTCGCAGCTGTGTGAAAGAGGAGTTTTAGATATAGCAGGTCGTTAGATGCAGGAACTATTTTACTTAAGTCGAAAGTAACATTCAAAGTGAGGTTCGCCGCTATGTACTTTTATGTGTTTTCCATCCATCGATCTTGTATAACTCTTTGCAAATAAATGGGTCTGTGGTTATCTGGCTTGTGACCTATAATTAACACAGGCTGTTGGTTGACTGTACCTTTAGAGAATTCGGAAAATTTGATAAGTGCATATAAACTATTTCGATTTTTTTAGGAATTCCTATCAAAGCGAATCAATTATTCAAAAAGAAGATGACGCGAATCTATTTCTGTCTGTAATAGGTATGTTTTCGGTGCATGATTCAGGAGTTGGTTTGTAAGATTCTTAGCATATTGAGACTTTACATAGGTTAGTGGTTGCGATAGCTTTTTCCAGGCTACTCTCCTGGTAGTTTGCAGACAAGCTTGATGTTTCAAAGGAAGTTAAACTAATTCACGAAGTTCACTGTACAGGCCCAAAACAACATTCTGGCAACATTCGCACACCTCTGGAATTCTACTTGGTTACTACCGATGGCAACTAACCTACATTTCTTGTCCGTTGTACTCTATGTCTACCAGATTTCAGTTAAATGACTTAGCTTACATTTTACGACCAACATTAAAATGAGACATTGCAGTTCGGTAACACGAAGTCTGATCTTACTCATTTCCATCTGATTCTATTTAACTTGTGAGTTTTATTAAATTTGATTCCACTGACCTACTTTGATTTCTCTGTGATGTGTAACAGCAGAAAACTGGGTTATCGAAACACGTGTTAGCTCAGCATTTCCTTATCCCATGTCCCTAAGAAAACTAGATTTGTTCAACTCCTCCTGAACTGATAAAGTTATTCTTGCTCGGTAAATGTGCGACCAGGTTTGATCAGAAACAAACGATTTCATCCAGGATTAAAACTTTCTACCAACGCGTCACATGGCACTGACATAGTTTACTCCCATGTGTCCTCATGGCCGTCCGAGATTCGTCCGATAAGCGCTCTGAGTCCGATTGGTCAACGTGGTTGTCTAGTTCGATCGATCGATCGGTTGACCACGAATCAGCTGAGGCTGGCTCACGACTTCAGTAAATCACGGTCCAACTGCCCAAATTAATTCTGTTGAGACACAAAAGAACTCAAGTAGGCATTCAGTCGGCTTTCCAGGTACACGGCATTTCGTGATATTAACCAGAACTCCCTGGTTTGCAATAACAGATGAATGCTTACTTGATGACGGAGATTTAGGGTATCTATGACTATAAGCTCTTTGTTCACATTTACTGCATGAAAGTTCTCACTATATTCTAATTTATCGGAACTGTAAACGTCTAAGCTGTATGAATTCAGCCACCGAATTTGGCTTCCGATGATTTTTTTATTTCGTTCGTATGCAGTGGTGTTTTGAAAGTTTCTCACTAACAAAAAAGCCTAAATTATGCTTACCTTTCGTGTTGTCATATAGCTGGTCCATGTCAAGTTATCTACCTCACGCCGACGGTAGACGATCCTTCTTGGTCGATTGTGCACGCAGATGAGCTGGTAAATCGATCTCGATTCGGATCAACCCGTCCCAGTGCACCTTTTGGACAGTGTGGTCTCCGGATTACTGAGAACAGAGTGAGATGATCAAATCATTGTTTGCTGTTTATTAACTCTCATCCTTCCGTACAGTCCGATTAGGTACGTCGTCTTTACCTCTTTTCCAGCCTCGAACTCCTTTAACTGATCACAATTTTGTTGAGACGCATCAGAAACGAATCTTTATGTTCGGATGTCCAGCCCACTCTTCTTCATCGTCTGTTTCGCCAAACTTGAGTGACCACATGGATTTGCTATATCAGCCCAAACGGAACACCCTGTACTATGCAAAGAATAACGTGAGAGTAAGTCCCCGGTTGGTCCGAACCCTGAGGTTCCATAGGAAATCGTATAGGTTATCTCTTCCATTTTCAAAGCTGACATACATCCAACTCCCCTATAAGGCCCCTCTAGTGCGAACATCCCTCATGAGGATACTCATTTTCAATTTCTGAAGACTGTCATGGAAATGGTCTGTAATCCACCCACAAAAGTCAATTTTCGGATCCAAGTGGTGGGCGCAAAACGAATAGGGAGCTTGATGGAGAGTAGGTTGACGTGGGAACACCTGGTGGGTGGTATATAAGACATCCACAAGGTGAAACTGAATTTGCGATCGGGCAACCTCTGTAAACAGCCAAAAAAGTTTCATCACACTGCCTTGGTACATCCATCGTGTTTCCATAGGGGTTTGGAATGGAACTCAACGCATTAACTTCAAAGTAGTCAGTGATCCAACGTTCACTAATTCTCAGGGTGTTTATCAGTTGCAAAGGATTGAAAACGTATTTTCCTTGACAATCACGAAACACGTTAACTGAGTGTGTGTGACTACTGGATGAGATTACCCTTAGGGGAGAAAATATGATCATCGCGCTGATTTGGGTGAAGAGCTGTCCAAACGAGATTGGTGTGAATTTGATTCCTACAACCTCCACACTCCCCTATAACAAGCATAAACGTTATTAATTCTCTTGCTCCAACAGTAAAATCTCTTGCCCTTGGGGTCTAAATAGAGTAGCACATTGCGGGACAGCATGCATTGACTCATGAGTGAGAATTGTAGTAAGCTGTCAAATTTTAATGAATGCGGTCGTTTGAAAATTCAACCTGAAGTTTATTGTAGCATTAAAACGAAGTGAACCATTTAGGCCTGTGTCATCGTGGTGTAAAGTCAGCAAACAGATTTCTTCAGAACCGCTTTAGAACTTACAGTGGCTGTGGAATGTTTAACATATTTCGGTTGACTTGATTCTGCCTGAAATGGTCTACCTTTTGATCAATCCTCTCTTGATCACACACTGTGCTTTGTACGGTAGGTTATTCGCCACAATAGTGTCTTGCTTGCTTACCATGGTAAATTCGGTAGCCTTGAAACTTCAAATACCGTGATGAAGAAATTGGTGTAGTTTGGCGCAACCATTTTCCACCCATTTTGGTAAAAGTTTCGCATGCATTTCGAAATTATGAAATGTCTTCACAATTCACATAAACCCCAGCCGGAAATTATTCTGAGTTTTTGGTATTTGTGAATTTTTGGTATTCGGCTTTTTTGTAGAAAATACTGATTGCTTATAAAAAAGGTGTCCATCGAGGCAAAACTGAAGAATGTAGACTGTAGAATCGTTCGAATAGCAAAGGCCAATTTTCTGCGGTTGTTTCCTTAAGGAAGATGAAGTTCCCAAAACTTCACTCTTCATTCTTCTTCCTCTCACATTTGCTTGCTCTTTCTCTCTCTCTGGTTGTCACACTGAAGACCCAATTTGCCTATCTGGGGTGAATACTGCCCACTTTTTTCTAACAGAACCGCTCCCAAAAACGGGTTAACTCAATTGAATAGTAATCATTTCACCAGCGTATTATAACACATTTACTTCTGAAACCTGTGGCGTACATCCTGTTACAAACTCAGGCGTAAATATTTTTCAATGCCTTTCAATAGCTCACAGATGGGTTAGTTTCACAGATTAACTCTAACGTCTCCCACAAATAAAGTAATCGACATACAGAAGACGGGTCGCGTTTACTATTTTGAAACCCCTATGGCGTCAGAGTGGTTTCTCCTTGAATCTCAAGAAACGTGTATCAAGCTACAGTACGGGCTGCTTTGTTGTATGGCTGTGAAACTTGACCTGTTCGAGCAGCGGAACTGAGACGTCTTCAGGTGTTTGACCACCGTTGTCTCAGAACCATAGCTGGTGTGGGTTCTTGTCGCAATTAGAAAACGAGTTTTCGGTTGTGCAATGGGTAACTCCATCAAAAATGTGTCCAGCAACATAAGCTGCGTTGGTCGGGACATGTGTTGCGCATGCTGAACTATCGTTTGCCAAATAGAGTGCTGTTTTCCGTGCCAAGCGCAGAGTGGCGGAATCAGAGAGGTGACCAGCCCTTGACTTGGTAGAGGGGTATGAAGGAAATCACGAAGCGTTTGGTTGCTGTCGGTGCTAGTCGCCTTCCAGAATGGGAACCGCGTGATCCCCATTGTGCCTGGTTGGAGACACTACAGGATGACTTGCTTGGAACCCAGCCGAAACTCTCGTTTATGATGTTTCCTGACTTCTTATCATCCGAGCATCAATTATGAGTAGCAGAACTGCCACGCGCCACCTGCAGTGTGCTTGTTAAACTAAAACGTTCGTTCTTGTCTCACAATCAGACATCATAATTTTTCCAAGAGCATGTGCGTCAATCTGTGGCATGTCTGCATCAGTATGATCGGACTTGCAGGACACCAGCGTTCTCATGTTGTATCACTCGCAAGTCATCAACAGGCTGGTTGAGATGAGCTCCAGTGCCAAACAACGAAAATAGATCACTGCTGATTCTATACTACATTATTCTCCATTACTACTAAGGTATATCAGATTGGGCGGCTACCGGCATATAGGGCGGCACTGTGCGGAACAACTACGGTACTAAACTAAAACGTCACACAATTGACAGATTACGGCAACACCCCAATTAAATGCCGTCACATGTGGACCGGCTGATGGATTTCCAAAAGCATGTAGAGGGTTTCTCGCCGACATTGTTCCAACAATTTTTAGTTGGATTCACAGGTTGACAAACAACACCACATCCGACCCCGTCCGATCCGTATTGAACATCAGTGTATGGGTTTTCGTCATAAGTAGGGACAAGTCAATAAATGGCAGGCTTCGTGTCTGGTTTTGGAATAATACTCACTCCACAACAAAACACCCTATAATTAAACAGGGCCGTGAAGGGAATAAACTCAGTGTCATGTAATGGTTTAATTACAGCCATTCCGATGAGATGCCTTGATATATAGGGACACTTCGATTCGATGACCCTACTCCTCAAGAAGAAAGTTCATAGTGGAAATGCTCTGTGCTGTTGATTCGATTTACAAATCGATTATCAAGATAAATGCCTGTTCCACATAACCCTTCCTGTACTTAACTGGAGACACTGAACGATATGGCTCCTAACCTATGCTAGTAACGTTCATCCTGTCATTTTCTACCCACATTGTCTGTCTGGATGATGAACGTTTCTGGTGGGCTAACTCTGGATCCCCTACCTGTCCCATTTTTATATTTCCATAACAACGATTTATTCAATACAAATGTATCTGGTTGTAGGGCGGTGAAGGAACGGTGATCTCAACTGGTGTTGCAGTCAAATGATCATTATAGGGTGCTATTAACATCACTGACAGCTGGAGCGGTCGTTTTGTCTCTGAATACGTGCGAAGTCCCTGTTGCTCGAATCGGCTATTGTTGCAATGTGGACTGTCGATACTGACGCCAGAATGTGGGTTCCAGAAAATGTTGCGGTTTCCCCTGGCCAGCCGTTTTTGGTTCTGTTCAGTCTCAGCTAGATGGAACAACACATTTGTACTGATCTGAAAGAGAAACGAGTGTTCAGCTGTAGTACCCTTTCGATACCTAGCTGCCTGCCACCCGATGTTGCGGTTTCCCCTGGCCAGCCGTTTTTGGTTCTGTTCAGTCTCAGCTAGATGGAACAACACATTTGTACTGATCTGAAAGAGAAACGAAAGCGTTCAGCTGTAGTACCCTTTCGATACCTAGCTGCCATGCCACCCGAAAAAAGCACGAGTGCTGGGATACTGCCAGGTTGCCCAAGCTTAGACAGGGGAAGTCGAGAGGCGGAGGTCGGATTCGAACCACGGACCTTCCGGTCAGTAAATTCGCATCCTTACCACTTAAGCCATCTCGCCCCCCATACTGATCTGAACGAAGAGGATTGGTAGTACTTATGCGGTTCCATCACTTTCTACTAGGGCGTTGAAGTAACGAGTAAGCAAAGTTATCTACTAAATGAATCACAGAGTCCGAACAACGCACAACGTATTGTACAAATGCTGTGAAAAAAAGCCACTCTATCCGTGGGGAGCTCTCGTGGGAAAGAATTCTTGGCATCGTTTAGAGAAATCCCTCTGCACTGCACCGATTCACAAATATTAGTACATGAAGCACCGTGTGATGACAAATACCCTGTGGCAATAGTTTTGATTGTTCAGTCGCATGAAGTGTTTCCCGCGACCAAACAGACAAAAGCAAATTTTTAAAAATCCCCAAATTAGGTTACAGATGATGCTCATGAGCCCAACGAAGGCGGCCTGGGAATCTTGAGAGGAGTTCGTTGGTTGAAGTTAAGCGGACCAACATGGCCAAGTTCATTCAGATTTCCTTGGAAAATCTGATCACGAAGTTGTAAAACTGCAAAAGTTGCGCAGTGATCATATTCGGTTGAAGAGCAGGTTAGAAATCGTAGATGCGTGATTCTTATGGCAAGATAGAAAACAATTTGGGTCTGTCCTAATAAAGGATCAGGATCACTCTCAATGTGCTGCCTGGAGGGTATTCAAAAAATAATGTTCGAAGCACTGGTGCATTGAAAATCCTATCCGCCGTAATCACTACTCAGCGACTAATTTTATCACTTACCATCGGTATCTCGATCAATTTAAGCGGAGCGAAATTTCAGTCCTGTAAAGACAGAAAATTTCTGTCGCAAATCGCACACAAATTGTGTGGGGAAAAGGAGTCAGAGGGTAATAAAATCTGCAATAAAACCGTGTACGCAAATAACCGCTGCTAATGCGATGCTAACTTCGAACTACTGAGGATTTTAGACAGATCGGTAATGGAGAGTTCTTAACAAATTTTTCATGTCTGATGGTACAACGGTGAGGTTAGTTCCGGAGTGGACCTGATTGTTCTTTTTCGTTAAATCAGCTAGCATTCGTCGTTTTTTAACCTAACTATAAAAGAACACCTCACAGCTAATCGCATAGCTGGTGTAAATCCTCTCACATGCCCAGGAAAAGCCATTAATCCTTTTCCCTGATCGTCTTATTCTCGCAATTTCGGGTCGAAATAAAATTACACAGTTGTTAAAGTAATCGGGTGAATTATAGGATTCACCTGGAATTAGACAAAATATTTTTTTAAAATTTGATGATAGTATACCGACCACGAGGCATTAGAAACATTACTTATAAGATAACCAATGGCATTGGAAAAAAAATCGAACACCATGGTATGACTGGAACTCGCGAAATTGAGACACAAAATAGCAGGCATTAGGACATCGGTTGACAAACCAATGTCTAAACAATGCTTCTATAAGGAACCTACAATAGCTGGAACCTTGTGGAACTCTGCACAACTCCCATTTTTCATCTTCTTAATTTTAGTGCAAATAGTGATAAGCTTTTTCCGCCGGCATATGCATGACGGTATGCCATATGGTCTTTCATTCTATCACGTCAACCGGTTTTTTGCGCAACCCCATAATTACTGATGAGAACTGCTTGGAATTTTTTGACAAATCAATGTACAACGAGGAACGTCGACTTAGAATCGTACATACTGGAAAAGTAAATATAACCAAAAGGCTTATTCCACAAAGACGTTTTCTTATTTCCCAAGGTTTGTGTACGTGTCAACGGCTTATAGCAGCTGGGTAACGAAACAAGCTCCACGGTCGGCCTAAAGGTAACTGATGTAACCGTTGTGCGGGGTTGGACAAGCGAATGTCTGTTGAAGTTCATCCATTGCTTCGGAATATCAAACTGAGCCAACGGAGTTGATAACAAACAATCTGGAGCGGATCAAAAGAGACTGAACCCAAGAACTCCATTGGACACCATCCTCATAAAGTTGCGCTCGACTGGAAACGTCCAAAAAAATTCACCTGACACCCTTCCTAACGTCTCCCAACATTCAACGAGCTAACAAGGCCTCATTAAAAGCCTAAAGTGTTTCGCTCTCCACACGCCTTCCATTCATGATTTCAATCAAACACAATGGGTGCCGATAGGATTAGTAAGAACGGTCGCTCAACGGCTGCTGCAAGCTTTGGATGGTCCTGTAAGCAAGCGCTTTTTCTTGCCATCGAGATTTTACTTCACGGAGAAAACGTATTTCAGTCAGTAGAGCAAAAAATTTTCCCTTTCGTCACCCTCAGGAAGCCAGAACTAAGATAAAGCAGTCACTCTTGAAGGGCAGTTGTCGTTTGTGTGGCTTGTGGTTTATCTTTCCAACGTTTTGATAACCGCGTTCTGTTCAGATAAGACGCAAAACTTAAGTATCTTTAGCGAAAGCCTAGCAGCTCTCTTAAGAAGACGCCTTCAGCACAGTAACCTTGCTGTCATTTTTCAGTCTGAAAAAACGACGCGGACTGCATTTCACCACAATGCAACTAAAACACCTTGATTTGGCTTCTTTAAACAGGCTTGTTTAAACAAGACAAAACTGTTTTTATCTCCATTTAGCAAGCAAGAAGTGTTCATTTTCGCATCTTTCAGTGTCATTTACTCGTGCGATGGGCGCTTTATTCCCATGTTTTATCTTCATGAAGACTCTTTGAGACTATGTCTCATTAAACTCTGGGAGGAGTGCCATATTTCGTAACTGGTTGAAAGACTGAGCCTCAGTCTAATTATTTCGTACTCGGGTAAGATATAGTGTCACTAGACTTCCGTCTCTTGGTTGACGTCACCTGATTCGTTGTTGGCTACATCCTCGCGCAATAAATTCCCGGGCGCGCCTTGTGGAGTTTTCACTTATCTGAGATTATCCATGACCTTTATGAAGTAAGCATCACGACTTAGGAAGTACGCCTTCATTATGGATTGCTAGGGTGATTTGCTTGCATAGAAAATCCACTTTGCAGGAAAGTCTAATCACAAAAATGTTTCAATCCAAAAAAATCCCTAGGAAATTTTCCCCGATAAAACAATATTATCGAATCAATGTTATAGAGGATGTGAGTACTACCAAAAGTGATTTTTCGTCGAGGTGCTGGGTAGTTATTTAGAGGGCGAGTTAAACTTGATTTCTCTGCAAAGATTAGGCAAGTTGTTCTCAACGTTCGGCTTCTCTGACCACCAAGATTTGAAGGAAAGTATAAAAGGTAACTGGCGAATATACACTCATCTGCAAACTAATTTGGTTTTTTCAAGAGACTCACCTAGAACCCAGCTGAATCTCTCGTTTTTGATGTTCAGCAACCTTATGAGTAGTACGTTACAAAGATATATAAAAGGTAACATTTGTCACTCCGCCGCATGAAACTTTCGAAAAGTCAATGATGACAGTTGAGATTGGTAATATATTATAAACGCATCACGTGTTTTTGCGTCTACTCAGGTGGATTTGTACATTGTCTTTACAATTTCAGCAGAGACCCGATTATGAACATGGTTTTCTCTCTCTGGCTGAAGATGGTCAGCCGGGTTTGGAAGGGTGTTCCAGAGATCTCTTCTACTAACAAGTGCATTTCATAAACCTGTGAATGAAACACGTGTCGAACAACTTTCGGCAGCCGTTTTATTTCCGCTACTGGGTGGAATTCCTGAGTATTCGAACGGTTAATCTTAGCAAGTCCTGATTCTTACGTAAGACTTCATACGGGAATAGCATGTTAACCAATCTATTCAGAACGGTCTTCTCAGTCACGTGAAGCGGTTGTTTCCTATCAGAGCTTGTTGCCTGAACTTCGTGGTATCGATCGCTTGATCTCCACTACGAGACTAAACCCTGTTCATAGAATGAGCTTCCGCATCTTGTAAACTGCTCAAGTTCTTGCAAGCGCTTTTCCCACCAGATAAACACAATCCATCATCATCATTGTTGAAGGAGCTGTTACTAATGAGGTCAAACTTTGGGTCGTATAGTTTAGTGCTACTTTGATTCTCCTCCGATTGTTTACTGGCTAAGTGAACATCGATCGTCAGTCATTCCCCATTGCTACAAGACATTTCCTAATTTCTGTCAAGAAAGTTCGTTAGTGTGTCTGAATGTGGTCTTCCTGTATCTAGACAGGGCTGTTATCGGCTCACCAGCATTACTCACAAAACCATATCCTTGTTCGTTGTATACATTAGCATAAAAACTGGAAAGTCATGGCTCCTTCTGACTTTGATCGTTTGCCAGTGGAACCATACGCCAAAGATAGGCAAAAACATATTATTGATAACGTTTGTATACCACTTCTTATGTTAATCTAAAACAGATAAGTCCTAAGTAGGCAGCGATGTAACCGAATGTGTAAAGTGACTTCGTATTGCAAATTCTTACTAGTATACATGTGTTTCGGTCAGTGTGATATAAAACCACTCATAGCTGCATGGTCGTACAAAAATGAACACACAGTCAAAACTCGAGTCCATTTTCTTCCTGAAAACGGAGGTTCGCTGGCCGCATTCGTGCTAACTGATTTGTCTTTGGTGCGTGTAGCACCCACCCATGAAATAAGATTGTCCTGAGGCCTTGAGGTCTTTCATCTTCCTTATAATGTTCCCTCGTGTTGTGCAGATACATTGGTATCTTGTGAAAGCATTGTCCTCTTCACCAACTTGTTTCGATTTTGAGGGGCAGTTGCTTCATTTCTTAACTTTTGGCTATTATCGCATGCATATTGTTGGGCAATAAGCCCACAAACTCCAAGGCTTTGCCTAAAAAATGTTTTCCTTGTCATTATCCCGTTGTTAAAAAAGCTTGGCGACGGAGATGAAAATGTCGGATACCTTGCATTGTGTGGTGGTCCAAACGGTCCTAGTTTACGTTGGACATCTAACGAACTGCTTCTGCAAGCTACTGTTCATACTTCCTCGCAATCATCTCCAAATGTTGTAACAAGTGCAACAACTAACGGCGATGGCAAAACTAAAGGGGGCACTGCATGCGAAGAGTCCAAAACTCCTTACGATGAATCGAGACATCGCGAAACACAAGAGGCTGGCCTGAGTGTCTCTGAAGCGTCAAAAACCTCAAACCGTAGACATTTGGTCTCTGGTGATATCAACAGGTAAAGTTTAATGATGGGTAAATGTGGGCTTTTGTGTTCTTCAATTTTGTTCTTCCTGGAATCCGTTATTTTACTTTGAAACATTTTAAACTCAAAAACGGCAAAAAACGTGGCAATTAGGAAAGAGGCTGTGCCTGCAACGAAGCAAGAAGAATTCGATCAGTTTAAATCTTGCACTACAAGTGTACCCGAAGAAACAGGCTATGGTATTTTTGATTTGTGTGTTCCGTTTTTAAGCATTCTTTAAAATAAACTCTTTAAATTCATTTTGCGACTGGTGTCATACTAGCCGGCTGAGTAGATTTTGCACAACTTAACATGGCTTAGGGAGAATAGCCGCATTAACATTTTTATGAGTTTAGTCAGCAACCTGTATCTTTATCAGGAGCATTATGATATATTTTCTCATTCGTCCCACCTATGTTCCCCTCCCGTACAATCCAAACAATCGAATATCCTACTATTGTCAAATGAACGGGACTTTTGTATTCAGAATGTTTGGAGGTAATGCCCTCCAGGTGAAGTTAGCTCGGTGGATGAACATGTATTCCAAAGGGTAGAGGCCCCGGACAGATGTGCGTGGCTGTTTGACGCAACTGCTCACCAACAGAGATGAATATGTGGTTTATTCGTGCTCCTCGAACACAAATTTGTGCATTAGGCATCGGTCATAGACAAACTGTGCCCACTCTCCCAAACCCACGGTACTTTTACAACCCAATTATTCCAACTAACTAACCGCCTAACTATGCTGGTAATTGTGAGGTGATCGGCCAGTTTGTTTTCAGGATTTCTCATTTCCAGCCATCGAGCAAGTAGCAGTGGCGGGGAGAAACACCGGCAGCTAAAATCGAAGACAGCCGCTCCCGAATGAACCACATATGGAATTTCGTGTTTAGCGGGTAAGATGAAATACAGTTCATCACAAGCACCACCTAAATGGAGTGGGAATATCAACAAACCAGATGACTTTATTTTTCTTCGTATACACAGACTGCCAAATAGTATTTAATTTTTAATAACAGCGAAGACTCAGTTATCCAAAAAATGCTCTTATTTTACGTTTTCAGTTAGCCTACTTATGTAGGAAGAATAGTAGTTTAAATCTTTCACATTTGTGTATATCCGCTGAGAAGCACTCTTTCATCAGCATTACTCAGCAGACAGAACTTAAAAGTGACAGTAGACGGACAGACTGAACAAGAAGTATGCAGGAGGTGGAACCATATCAGTTATGTGGATAGTGCTGAGGTAGAGAATGGGATGCTTGTGTATGGAGAAAAAATAAGCTTCAGAGAAGGAACCGTTTCTTGGAGCGTTTGCCATTTATACAGAAGTAATATCGAATACGTACAGGGTGAAACCTCGCCAAAAATTAACCGTTTCTGTTCAGATAAGTATTTCATTACGACAGGATTCCTCTTGAACCACATGGAGACATTGGAAGAAATGAAATAATAAAAATGCCACAGCGAGACGAAAATAAGTTCTAAGCAATTTTTACGAAAACAGTTTTTATTACTGGAGAATTTGATGACTGAAGCAAAATACTCAAGGGGAAAAGTCCCAGGGAATAATCCCGCAATACACTTTGAACATCGGGGCATAATTACGACAGTAAACAAAAATTGCTTGCTTAAGTTTCTAGTCACCTTACAGGCTATAGTGCATAAATTAGTGTGTTCGGAGATCAAACACTCGTTCCAAATATCATTTTTCAAATACTCTTGAAAACAAAGCGTGAATGAAGCCGAACGTGCCGTATCTGTGCCACCTGATTTGGCGATAACTCACAAAGTCACGACCTCAAACGTTCCAGGGAAATTCTCGGTCAAAACCCTTTTCGCAATTTATGCCTCGAGTATGTTGGCATGCAGATTCTTCGCAGCCGATAAAATCTTTTTTTCAACCCACTGAAGCAAGAAAATTTTTGCAACCAGATTCTATCCAAACAGCTCGAAAAAGAACATCCATGCACTGGTCGTAACGGGAAGTTTGCCTGAACAGATTTCTTCCCGGTAGAACGGCCAAATTGGCTAGACCGAAAAGAGATCCTATAAAATTTCATAGATGCGACGTGGCATTTTCTTGTCGATATATTACGCCATTTTTCTACGCATTTACTTCATTTCTTTTCGATCAGTTCAACGCGCCAAACATACATCAATATCAATCTGGAAAGGTTGGAATACATTCACATTCACCAGGGTGAGTTACAGAGAGGGAATATTTTCCATACAGGACTCCGGAAAGGTACGGTTCACGTGGGTTCTGAAGAGTACCATACATGCATGCTTATAAACTATGTCTGCCAATAAAAAATCCTCAGAACCAGTGAAATACACTCATTTGCAAACCAATCTGTCCTTGCTAGGGACTCAACTGGAACCCAGCTGGATCTGTCGTTTATGATGTTTTTAAGCCTAGCTTATGAGCCCCAAGAAGGACAAAATCGGTCGTGGGCAGTCGAAGAGTTTCAGCAACCTTATGAGTAGTATATTACATCTGTTCACAAGACCACCTTTTACTCATGTTGAAAAAATCAGTTTTGTCTCATGCTAACCCATATGCTAGGAAAAATAAACGTCAAAGTGCAATAAAATATCAATTGGACAGCATATTTATGTGGATTTCTAGTTTGTTCGGTTAGATATTGGTTGGATTTCTATCTTGTACCGTTGAATAGGTCTTTTCTAGCTAAAATGATCACTGAACTACCGATTAACAGCATGTCGGCATTTGATTCAAACAAGGAGGTTTAGGGTTATGTGCACGTTTTACTGTGGTCGATAAGCTACCAGCTAACAAACCACTAATTTGCAATTTTTGTATGGGTTTTCCAAGTAATGTTGAATCGGCCACATATTGAACGATCTGTGTTATAACTTACCGTAGCATGTATTTTTAGAGTTATGAAGTTTCCCATCGAATCAGTAGAGGAATTTGCTTTCAATTTGTTCCACTTTTGTTGCCTTTCATTTTTTGGGTCCCATCAACAAAGACACACAAGGCACACGAATTGTGCTCATCGGCAATGATGGTGTCCAGTATCCGACTGTACGATTCCTGAACAGTCAATCATCAACGGCGGACTTTGTTTCTGCACTTGATAATGCCTTAGCACCTGGAACCAGGTTGACACCGGTGCTGAACAGCATTGAAGGTAAGATACCGGAAGTTTCTGAGTGCCCAGCTATATAGATTTTCAGGTCCTAATATTCGCTTTCTACTTTTTTTCCATAACGAGGTAATTAGAATGCGAGTGTTCGGTTGTGCAACGGGTACTTTCATTGGAAGATATGTCCAGCACCAGAAGCTACGTTGGTTGGAGCATGTGTTGTGTATGTCTAACCATCGTTTGCCGAAGAGTGCTAGATTCCACGCCCAATTCAGAGTGGCGTAAGCAGAGGGGTGAACAACTATTGACTTGGCAGAAGTGTATGAAGGAGACCATGAAACGCTTGGGTGTTGTCAGTGCTATCCGCTTTCCAGGGTGGGGACTGCGTGACCATTACTGCGCCTTGTTGAATACACTGCAAAATATGGCTGCCAACGAATGTCAGTTGCGTTGTTTTTGTCCGTTTCTATCCAGATTGTCTGAATAAGGGTGTGGAGGTATGGGCACCTCGGAATGATTGTAGAAAGCTAGCACTAAGTCCCTTCCTTGTCCACCTTTATTCTTTTCTTCACAATAAAGCTTTCAAACAAATGATGATTGTACGGCAGTGAAGCATTGGTGTTGAACACCTGATGTCATGCTGTCGATGATGATGAGAATGAGAATGAATAGTGCTTTATTTGTATAAGAATAGACGTACGTAAGCCGAAAGTAAAGGCGGGAGAATGGCTCCTACGAAGCATTATCGTGAATACAAGGGGTAGCCATGACACACTGATATCATGGTGTCGATGATGATGATGACTTCATTCAGCATCAGCACCTCTTCCAAGTTTTGCCATCCTGCATGGATCATTAATCCAGTATTTAATGGAATATTGGCATGCAGTCTGTCCCAGCTTAGCACTGCGGTCGAAGATCACAGCGTTAAGCCGTGATCTAAACAAATTTACGGGTGACACAACCACTTCGATGATAGTTTGCATCCGCATTGTGCAGGTCCGCTAGTCCAGCTGATCCTCCGGGGTCTACATGGGCATCAGCGGCTCCGACAAGATGGTTTCAGCTTTGAATTTGGCTCCGACTCGGATGCCAACCACTCAGTGATTCGTCTGGAATTAAAAGACAACCTCTATTGTGGACCTACTCAGGCAAGGGAATCATTTGATTCTGACTCTCTATTTGACCCCGTTGTGTGTTGGCCTTCGAATCGCTTGTGGATTACAAGCAAACCACAAGGCTGGAATTCAACTTGTGGATCAAGACCAGCCATAGACTGGTTTGGCGAGATGGCTCAATGGTTTGAGCGCGAATTTACTGCCCGGAAGGCCCGTGCTTCGAAACCGACCTCTGCACTTTGACTTCTCTTGTCTAGGCTTGGGCAACCCGGCAGTATCCCAGGCCTCGCGCTTCCTTCGGGTAGCCTGGCAGCCAGGGTGTTATAGCTGAACGTTTTTCTTAGCCTGGTGAGACTTTTTGGGAATAGTATCAAATATATTTCATGTTATACTATGATTTGATGTTTGGCGCGGAGTGGTGCACAATCCACCGAAATAACCGCACTATTTACAAAATGATAGTATTCGCTCGAAAATCAATCCTTAGAACTTGCCTGGCGTTATTTTTTTCGGAATGAGTTTTCCAGTCACATGCCTCCACTCCATTTCTATAAACCAGTTTGGGATTTATAACAAACTTATCATTGACTAAGAGAGTTTTGTGGCTCAAATGTTTTTCAATACTTTTTTAAAGGTCTGAAAACGCTGGATGTCAAGAGCAAGTCAGCATCGAGTACTCCCGGATTTATGAGGAAGCTTGTCGGCAAGGCTAGGCATTCTGAAGAGGAATCCGACAAGAATCGTCATAAACTCATCAACTTTTCCCTGTTTAAGTCTGATGTGATGGATGCGGGCGCAATTGAGGCCGAAGGAAACAATGGCCATGTCATTGACGGCTGTCCAAAGGAGAACAGATCTCACACAAATACAGACGCATCAACTGCCACTCAAATTTTGAGCGAAGAGGTCGCCAATTCTACACAAAATCAAATTCCAAAGCAATGGCCAGAATTGGTTTATCGGATAGTCCACTTGCCAGTAAGTTCCAAATTGTAAAGCTTTCGATAGGATGGATGAAATTGATGTCAAGTAATTCGAGATCCCATTGCTTTACGTCAATGAGATTTGAATCTCATGAAAAGAGATTGAAAACAGTTGGATCGATTCGGCTCCCGAGCGACAACGACCGTTTGTATCTATACAACCACATATACGGTTGCTTCTCGTTGCTAGTTATCAGATGTTTGGTATATTCTGTTCGAGCACACGAACAGTATGATTGTAAGCATGTCTCAGTATTTAATTTGGATCAATTAAATTAGTTCTTTTGGATTTATCTCTTCGTTATTTTTGAGAACGAAGCGATTAGCAAGGTAAAAACAAATCCAAATGGCTTAATCCATGGTTTGGACAATCGAGGCATCAAACCCGATGTGCCGTTCTGAGATGCATTTCTAGCATTAATCATGTCAGTCTACATGATCCGTTATGGACCGATAAATGCCACAAACTAATATAATTTCTTCGTCAAGCGGCTCACAGTTTCCAAGCCAAATCAGATATTGCTTGTTGAATGTTTATTACTGACACATCATTAGATATCTGTTTGAAACAAGGTCTTAGCTGCTGATCAGGTGGCTGTTGATCCGTTCAGCAAGCCCAACAATGGATTTGTGAACAGTTCGTCACTGTCTGAGGCGACATTATCAGTGCGCACTCGGGTCCCTCAGCATAACAGTCGTACAGGCATATGTTAGTAAACTATAAGCATCGATACAAGCTACAATGATTTATTCACGCCACAAATCACCAATGAGTAGTTCTCAATGCCTTGCAAATCAAGCTGTTTTTTTATAGCACTGTCGTGTGTGGATATTGTTCGTCCGGGTAATCCGGGTTTGGTGAATTCACAAGACTGAAGACACACAACTTTCAGTAGTATACTCTGGTTCCAACCTTAACGTATGGAACAACAAAATTTTTTACTTAGTTTTCCTTACGTCTCAGAAACATTCGTTCCTTTGTTTACTTGACGAAATGTGCTGCTCACAAGGTTGCTGAAAGTTCCTGTCATTTGTAAAACGCGCCCTCAGGAAAACTAAAGTGCTTTATTAATCATTCAAGATAAATGAATGGACCGGTAAGGTTAGGTCAGGTGGACACAACTGAAAAAAACATGCTTTACATAATTTGGTGTAGTGGACGTAGGTAGAGTAAAGTGAATGAGTGTGATATATTGTCCTATATCAATCCCTTATCCCATTCATCAGGTTTGTACATCCCAATCGGAACCTTCAGATATGTCCTCCACTTCCATATCTCCATTATGCAAGAATTCTGACGCTTCCAACAGAAAACTAAACGGGTCAATCGAATCTCTGTCGGTTTCACTAGACGCGATCAAACGAAAGCTCGTAGCGAACGTTTTCTGCGCCTGTAGGTTTTTCACCACGTTCCAAAATTACGAATGGTCCTTGTCACACTGTACAACTTGTATGACCCATACGTAAAGCAATGATTTGGGCCGTGCGAATCAGTCAAGCTTTTCAAGCATCCACCTCACCATTGCTGAAGGTCATCGCTAGTGGCATGTGATCAGGACGAAGTTAATTGTACTTAATATAGTTTATTATCATTCAGAATACAGATGTTGCTTTCCGGGGAGAACGGCCTTAGAGATGACCGTCTATCAGGAAAGATCACTTTACGGCGGTATTATCAAAAACGGAGAACTCTATCACCATAACCGTACATAGTATTTTAGCGAGCTTTCTGGACCTTTGAGTGCAGAGGCTTCCAGACGCGCTGTGGAAACCTTACCATGTGATGAGCGCAACATTGTTTCCAATCAGCGAGCAGTTAGTGGGTTTTATTGTGTTCAACCTTTAGAAAGCCTTAGCTGTGTTTGATGGCTCCTTTGGTTATCGTTTCCGTCTCAACCAACATGAAAATTGTTTCTCCTTGTCTCACGGATCAAGGGGATCCATGGGCTGAAATGCTCATCAGGAGTTAGAAAAGTGTACCAAAACATTTTATAATAGTTATGATTTGTTCCAGACAATTATTGTCAATTCAGTGGCAGCCCGAACACCGTCTTATTAGTATCTGAAGAGCACTAACCACTCTTTGCATCTTGCCAGTAACCTAGAGCTTTCCAAGTTAAGTTAAGTTAAATTTAAGTTGGTTAAGTTCAAGTATTCTTCTTTCAACTTTCAGCTTGCCTATTTTTGGTATGGAAAATCGTCTCATCGGTTTTCTACTGCATCAAGCTGACACATTGCTAATGTTTTTAGATAAAAATTCGTTGATTTTTAGGGCTGAGCCACATGCGTCTCATGAGGTTCGTTCGGAAGAATCTGAAATGTTTGGTAATGCCAAAATCTGGGGTTGAGTGCCCCGGGACGAGTGGGTTAACTTTTGAGCGATGGAGCGAACTCTTTTTGCAACTTTCTGAGGAAGACAGGAAGGTAAGTGAGCATCAAAGTAAGAAAAATATCTAACTGCCTCGACAAGTCTTAACTATTGCAATTTCCACATTATATCTCACAATATATATTTAATTGACCAGGTCCACTATCAGTATTTGCAACCTACATTCCTGTAGACCTGATACTAGACATCGGCCTTCTAGCATGACAAACAGTGTCATCCTCATCAGCATTTTAAGTTAGAACAACAATCACGGCAGTTATGTGAAGTCAAAAGGATACTTCAGCAGATCTCTTCACTTGAAGGTCAATAGAATGTTAGAGTTAATGCACTACTCATAAGGTTGCTGAAAATTCCCCGACAGTCCGCAACCTGTTTCGCCCTTCTTGAGATAGGCGCGGTTCCCGAGTTTCCGTCAACTTCAAGTTTTTATATTTGAACCCAAATTGCACGAAATTTGCGAAATACACTAATTTGCAAACGAATTTGGTTTTGCGAGAGACTTACCTGGAACCCGGCTAAATCTCTCGTTTATGATGTCTCTATACAACTGGATATGCTGCACCAAATTGCCTTGAGTTGCAGTTGGTGTGCTATTCGAGATATCGCGATGCATGTATAGACGTTGCTTGCTACTAGCAAAGTTGCTGAAACTTCTTCGTCAGCCCACGACAGGTTTCTCCCTTCTTTGGGCTCATCGGATAAGCGCAGCTGGGTTCTAGACGAGTTTCTAGCAAAACTACATTTGTTTGTAAATGAGTGTATTTCGCTAAAATGTTTGATTCTTATGTTGATTTCACTCATGTTTGTGTGGTAGTTGGGATAATACCACCCAGTGGTCGAGATTTTCGGTGGGAGAATTCCCAAATGGTTGACCAAAAGGCAACAGTCGTCAACGTAAAGTCATTAAAGGAATCACAATTCTGTGAGAACGTTCTCTAAATGCGTTGCTCTCCCATCTGTTAGACCATAAAAGATTTAATCCAGGATGTTGTAAGAGAAGATGTGTCATACAAATTCTCTGCACGATCCTGTCCATCCTTCGCGGATGTGACCTAACTGAGGAGCAGTAAATTCACAGTGATCACCGGTACCGACAAGAAGACTACTAAGTTCTTAAATTTCGGACTATCTATTGGTGCACACTAAAAGTCTACTATGAGCATTCGTCTAAACCCGCACGCTTAGTCATCTTCACGCCCACGCTGGATAACATGTACGATTATTGATTTATTATTGAATAGAGTTTAAAAACTATACCTGGACGATAATGAAAGCGGAAACGAACAATCATTCATCAGACGACAAATTTCAGGACCAACATGGAAATTAGGAAAACACAGAAGTGAAAAATCTGTGGATCTAGTTGAGGTACTTTATGGGTCTGGAATGGGTACGTACTTCTGAGTCGAAAACAATAGCCTGTAAGATTAACAAACCCTACCTGACGAATTGTGTATACAGGATGAGCTGCGCGGATAGACAGCCCGACAACTAGGGTGGTGAATTGTTGTCCAATTACGCCAAGCCAAATTCCCTTTGAGGGAATTTGGGTTCCTGTTCCCTCACAGGGGACAGGGGTCTTGAGCGTTACTCTACGTTCATTATGCATGCACCTGGGAAGAATCAGCAGATCTGGTTGGCTAGTGCGCACACCCTAATCGAGCTTCAGGCTACATCTGGAGAGTTTGTGTGTCGAGCCCCTAGACCCGATACAAGCGCAGCCACTTTCACTCCGTTTGGATTAGCTTAAACGAGCAACACGCTAAGCCTGATAGGCGGAAATAACATCGAAAACTGAACGCTCTCATGCACACATCCGACTGCACACATTGGGACTGTAAGACAGCGACAGCAACGAAACACAGACGCGGAAGGCTGATATCCGTTTCCCGAATCGCCTGTCACGTTGATCTAGGTCGATGACTTCCCACCCACACCAGGTATTGTCTTATTCAGTTTGCACTGAGCTGCGTGTGCATTCATCCGAACGCCCAGCACCTGATATAAGCCCAAAAGAACAGGATGTGACAGGGAGCATGAGAGAGCGCGAGAGGGTGAACAGGAAAGAGCAGTTCTGAAGCCATCAGAATCCTCAGCTTGTGCTCCATAACCATCACATCAAGCGGGGACAATTGGACAGTTGAGATGTGCTCGGACTGACAAGGTTGCAGTGTGAACTTCCTCCCGATTGAGACATCTTGCAGTACACCAACACATTGAACACACAAAGGTACAAAAATTCCATAAATCTAAAACTTAGCTGGCTTCTACTCTGAAAGAGGAATTATCATAGTCCAAATGGCTGCTAAATGGCACATTTACCTTACTCGAGGAGCCGGTATCTTTGAGTTGGTTGCCTTCTACCAAGCTCGTACCTATGTTCCACTTTTTTAGTGATCTTGGGTCAGCAGACCAGAATGATATCTTTGTTTATTCTGAGTTTAACTTCTGACCGGATTTGTCACTCGCTATCCAATAGGTAATAATCTTCATATGTCAAGGGATAGGTTAAGTACGAGTTGTGGGTGCTATGATCGGTATGTGACGATTATTTTACCATTTGTGCGTCGAGTCCACCTTTGTACAGTGTTTTCGTCCAAATGAGTTCACTTGGCTGTAACGGCACCGAAAAATTCCCTGAATCCTACGTAGTTGTATTGTGACTGTGATACTACTGATTGGATAGGCATGCAAGTAGTATGTTTTCTTCTTGTAAATTCCCTTTGAGTCCCTTGAAAAGGGACATCTGTTGCGGATTTTGTGGAGTCGCTCTGTAGCATTTGCTTGGACTTGAGCAACAGTCAACAAATTTCCAGGAAGGTTCAAGAAGACGCGTTCGAAAGAAGATGAGTGTCCAGTTTTTGTAAATAAGATGCAAATGAGAGTTTTGCTTCCCTGTCCAATAGTCTGTAACTGGTCAGTTGGCATTTTCTAATAAATCGCTCCCCAGAGAAGGCCTTCCTTCCTTTCCGTAGTACTGTCATAATCCAGGTAAGACAGGTTCAAGCCACTTTTGGCTACAATAACTTTCACCGGTTGGTTTCCTCATACCTCTTGATTTTACCACGCCCCCCCCCCAAACAGACGAGTAGTCAGTCTTAACAGATGAGTGAGCTGTAAGCCAAGACATCTTGATGCAGATTAGACGATTGGAGCACAAGATCTTTTTACGTATACATATAGGCCAACAACTAATAGTCAAACACTGCTACCACCGAAGAGTGATGAGAGTTGATCATCGATCTTAATTGACTTCATTCCTCATGAGACCTAAGACCGTGTCGCATTTGTTTCTTTCCAGCGCCTAGACCCAACGGTAATTTACCAACATGTATTCTACGGGGGTTGTACGCCTTCTCTACGACTGCAGGTGAGCATTTCACTCCTAATTTCTGTGAGCCCAATGTAGTAATTTCACCACCGATTCGTAAAGCTTGAGACGAGACGAAATGATGCCGTTATTAGGCCACTGGATATAAATATGTTTGAAACATGGCTCGCAATGAATACTGTTGGTTCAACTGAAACCTGAGGTGAACTTGGTGCAACATAATCCATTGGAGCTTAGTAGAAACTAGAGGTTTAGGTGACTTTCAGCTAAGCCTAGCATTGACATCAATTGGATTTCCAAATGAGTGTTCATTGTGACATGCATGTGATATGGTGTCCAATTAGGAAACAAGGTTGATGAAGATCCGAGGACTTGACCTAGGTGATGGGTCTGAAGAACAGCAAGACCAATAGGGGGGCTGTTCAGCATTGCCATCGACGTTGTAAGTAGCATTGATATGCATGGAAACCTATTGATAATGGGAAAAAAGTGGGGGAAAGAACTATTTTAAAAAGCTGAAAACCCAACTAGCAAGTCTCAAAGTATTAACTCGAATTCTTTTTGAGAATTGCTAGGGAAACTAGGGCCACTGGTAGATTTGACGCGGAAGTTCTGGCTTCATGACGTACTACTGGAAAAAAATTGAACAGATTCAAGTGCGCATATAGTGGTAATAGTCAATTTGGCCGGTCCCAATCTTTATCCGTTGTCGTTTACGACGCTTTTGAATGTCAGCACTCGGAAGATCTCTTGTGGAGCAAACTGGATGAAGACGATTTTCGAATTCCGTAAACACTCTATCGTTTTTTGTTAGCTGCGAATGATTAGGGGAAACAACTTGTACTTTTGTTGTGTTATGTTAGCAAATGTGCCAAAACCGTCAGATTTCTGGGTTTAGTAACCGAACAGCGTTCATTGTCACTTCATATTATTGAGTATAGCAGATTTAAGTTCGCCATTATTTCTTACCACTGTAAGGGGTCAATACTGGTGAGAGTTTGCGTGAAACTATATCAGTTGCTTGGGTTTGCATCCCGAATACTGCGGGGAGAGGAATCGCCCCCTTTATACATGTTCTGACCCTTATTTATGTCATTGGTTTAGGCCAGATTCCAACTTACTAATCTGAATTCAAAATGATTGAATCACCCGATCTCCTGTTTCACCAAGCCAGAAGGATGCCAAGCAGGAATCTGGGTTGGAAAAGATGGAGCTGGAGAGTACACCTGCTTCCGGAAACAAGGAAATTGACTCAGTGATGTGACAAATGTCACGCACTCGCGGGAGAACAAAATGTTTGAATCAGCTAGCACGGTAACAAGTCATGGATGCCTACCTAAGACAGGCTGCTGCCTTATTGTCATGTGATGCTAATTTGAAGCCTCCCTGTTGCGAGGATATCGATGTCACAGACCGACGGGTTGCAAACTTCGGTCGTAGTTCAGTCTCTCCTGATAACCTATTCATAAACAAACACATACCTCAAGTAAATTTGTTCGGATATGGCATTGCAACAACCATTATTCCACTCAATATTGATCTTTTTACACTGGAATATACAGTGCTTTCTGCGCAAAACACTTGGGTTAAGTGAGGGCCCTACAGGTGGTATCCCAGGAAGGAGCTTTCTAGGTCAGTCATTCAAAAATTCTGTCCAGTCACAAAGGAGGTCGTCTATGCCCCTTATCTTTTTCCATCCCATAGGTTTGGCCATACTTGCTTGGCTTGTTTTCATGGTCTATGTCGGAAAGCGAAAAGTGTGAGAAACTGCAGAACATACGGGAAAGCTACGAGACTAAGAGATCCGAATGGATGGCCTTGGAGCAATCCGTCCAAGATATGAGATCGGAAAACGATACAGCCTGTTGTACGCTGTCCAGTGAGTCTAATAGCAGTGAGTTTGGCAGAGGCCTGCGGCCACCCGACTTCGAGAAAGTTGTTGAAGCCAGTCTCGGAGAAGTGAGTTGTTTTGTTATTCGATCAACATTTAAAGTCCTTCTTTAAAGAGGAATAACTCAAGAGGTTGCAGAAGATGTCAGCTTCAGTTCAACCTTCGATTGAGCTTCTTGGCTGGAGAATTCGATGCTTGGTTTAAGGCCCCTTTTCTACAAAGTCGAGTCCAGAAGAGACCGTTCACTTGGCTTACCCGATAGACAGACAGGTGTTGTTCTCCTTCGATCAACTCAGACCGGGCATCTGCTTTATATGATTTTATGGGTTTGTGTTCCATGCATTTCGCAAAAATCAAACCACACCATAGCTCTCAGTACATGTGGTCGTGCGTGCTCAAAGGCCGGTCACTTGCTCTCCAACCACGGGGACCGAAGTCGATAATCCTGGCTTGTGCATCTCTGGAAAACTGCGTAGACATTTCTTGTTAGCAGAGAAGCTTATTCACTTCTGCCCAGCCAGTGGAAAATTTAGTGTCTTTGACAACATCGTTCAGGAAAATGCTTTAAAACAAGATGTGATTTAGAGACGCAATACACTACTCATAAAGTTGCTGGAAATTCCTCGACAGCCCGCAACCAGCTTGTCCCTCCTTAGGGCTCATCAGGTAGGCGCAGTTTCCGAGTTTCCGTCAACCTTGAACCCAAGTTGCACGAAATTAGCGAAATATACCCATTTGCAAACAAAGTTGATTTTGCGAGAGACTCACCTGGAACCCAACCTAGAAACAGCATAAACGAGAAATTCAGCTGGGTCCCAGGTGAGTCTCGCGAAACAAAATTTGCTGGCAAAAAAGCGTATTTCGCTAAGATGTGCCTTACTTCAAGAAACAGCTCTCCCTAAACACTTTCCTATTGTGAAGACAGACACTCGTATATAGTTTGGTGCAATGTACTTGTGTGTTATGTCATTTGTCCCGTTTCTACCTCATTTGTATTCCCAACTCGTCCGAAGGCTAGATACAAATGAAACTTGAATCAAGCTGTCATTTACGATGTTTTTCTGAAGGTTCTTACTGACGATGTAGAAAGACGCGCGTATGAAATGATAAACACCACATTTTCTTCAAAAGCGGATGATAAAAATTCGGTCTTTTCATAAAGGAAACTACTCACAAGCTTGCTGAAAACTCTTCTTTGTGAGTAGTTCCCTTTATGAAAATATACTGCGATATCTCGAATATCGTGCTAACTGAATCATGAGGCGGCCTGTGTGCAGCACATTCAGCTGGAGGACATCATAAACGAGAGATTCAGTTGAGTCTGCCGTGAAAACCAAATTGATTTGCAAATGTGTTTCTCGAAAATTCGACCTTGTTTATTGGCTAAATTTGTTTCCTGCACCCCAATGTGTTCTGCTTGAGCGTTGTTTTTGTGATCTTCTGGACTAGGAAAGTGTTTCTCAGCATGTCTTGCTGCCTCGGATGGTCAGCGACAATAACAACAGCCTATTTGCTTTTTCAGCAATTTCGACAAACCCAACCAGTATTTTCAAATTCGACCTGACGCAATTGTTTCCGGCTCCCTTTAGGGACATACCGCATTCGCAGCGCGGAATTTGTTTTTAAATTTCGTTCTTTCCTTCAAGAATAAAACTCCACGCAAACGAAAGCGAGACAATTTCCAGTCCGGGAACTATCCGGGATGATACTTCATAACGGGGTTTGTCACTGGACTGACATTACTCAGTTGACTAGACTGTTGTTACCTGCAGTCCATTATCGCCAGATCATGTGTCTGCACCCCCATCTATCTACTATTACACTATGCTGATTTAGATGGGACATGTATCCTCTACGCAGAGGTGCGCCTAGTTTCCATTCACACTGTTCGTTAATACACGAATGCAACCACCGGTAAGATGTCTTTAACACTGAGAAAGAACATTCAGTAAGCCAAGCGAAGTGACCACGGTGAGGCGCGTCAAAACACAGCTCATCTTTCACACTCAAATATAACAAGTACTAATCATACGAAATTAGTAAACGGTTCGGCCGCCCTCAGAAATATCATGCAAGGGTCGGACTGTAGCCCTTACATCGACGACCAATCTAACAATATCCTCACTCGGATTAGAATGGAACTAACGTGTAGTATTCAAATTCCTAAAAGCGCTTGCCGTTTTAAATGTATGGCATTTTGTAGCTGTTTCAGGTCCTTTATTGAAGGATATCTTCATACGGACGCAGTTCTGTTGTATGCAAATGACAGTAGCTTTGTCCTCACAACCGAATAATAGTCTTGTGGATAATATTTTAGCTGGCTAGTTATCCTTTCCGTTAGTTCAAAAGACATGAGTTTTGCTTTCTTCCCCTAAGAATTCTCCTTATTTTCTGGACCGTTGTTAAATCAAAGTAATCTGTTTCAGTTTTTCACTAACAGGTTGTCTTTTTTTCTTTTTACAGAAAGATATTCGGGAACAATTTGATCGTTTGCTAGAAACTGTTCAAAAAGATGTCGTCCGGTGCGACAGAAACCATTGCTTTTTCTCAAAAGACGGTAAATTTTTTTGGTTTTATTTTGTAAGACCATTTAACATGAGTTTATGGGATTCAGGCTCCGCCAAGGAATGCAACTGTTTAGATATTGTATGGTAATTTTTGCGTGAAGGTCATCCAGTATATCTAGGAAAGCCTGTACTTAAGTGTAGGAGATTGAAGGAGGTTCCAAACGTTCATGACCAATATTCAAGCAATTACCTCGCCTACAGCGAACCTCCGGATGGTTTGATGACGTAATCACACAAATTAGGTAATACCATCTCACTTCCCACTTATGAAGCGCTTACAGAGCTGAGACGGCTTTGGACTTCCGGGTCAAACCCTGCTCAGATCTTACTGAACAGATTGGACGCCATATGGTGTATCATTTCGAAAGTCGATTGAATACGTATTGGCAACGTATTGGCAATACCCTCTAGAAGTGGCGCTTCAAACGCCATTCGAAATATACTTCGGGATTATGATTTGAACACGTTCCTCCGAATTGATGGAACCTTACAAGGGCACCTCGTCAGGGATAGCGACCCTGTCGAAACGAAACACCACACAAACTGCGTCTACCGATTTCCCTGTGCGGAATGTCCAGTTAAACATGTAGGCCAGATAGTCAGACATCTCCATAAGCTAATCAGATTGGACAAGCCGCATACGCGTCTCCCTTCATGAATTCCAACTGCGTTTAGAAAAACTCGGACACTCCTCAGCCAGTGCACTCTACGCACTCGAATCAAGCCATCAAATCAACTTCCAAGCTACACATATACTTCAGTCAGGATCCAAGTCACACATTTAAAGGGACGTGCTCTGAAGCACCGGAGATCAGCAGGCAACCGAACTGCGTAAACCGTGGTGATGCACCCAGCATCTCGTCCATCTACCTTGGACTTGCGCATCCTAGTAGACAGTGTCCGTAATTCAATCGGGAACCTCAACAATGGCGCAGCACATTGACAAGCAGAGGCACATCCCAGCAAGAATACGTACACGAACAAACGGTAGCCGCATCTCCCTACCAACTGATCTCAGGAACACACCACTTAGGGGGCATAATCGCGAACCTAAACAACGCCACACTTGCAGAAATCCTTTACAAAATTGTCAATGGTAATCGAAACGTCGGATTAAAACATCGTGTTCCGCTTGGCCGCCGTTCGGTAACATTTTCTAGCTTATCTGTCCAGATTAGGCGCCCAAATTAAGGCAAGTCAGTGGGATTCTTCCACGTTAAGAACAAAAAAATTTGTAGTAATCCCTAGTTAGTATTCGGAAAATTGAATTTGATTCCGGATAATTCTTCACAAGATCCCACGCGTATTTTCGCATTACACCGTAGGTGAAAAATAGCAAGTTGTTCATTTTTAATCCTTCTAAATGAAGGTTTCGCATCCAGCCTCTACTCAATGCATAAATCAAGGAGAATCACTATTCATATTGTGTAAAACTACCACTGAAATCAAATTTAACCGAAAAGAGACACACGGAACCAAAATTCTGTTTGATGTTTCCGGGTCTTGTTGGACAGAACAAATGAGGACTTTGAAGACAGTTATTCCTCTAACCATATTGATTTCAGACTTGGGCTTATGATCACACATAGCTTCACCACTTTGTTTCCGTAAACATGGAGAATTTCCTCGTGTTTTGTCTTGTTTTTGTTACTCTGGATAACGTCCTAAACTTTTGGACTGATAGCCGAGAAGGGAATCGGTCTACTGTCTCACAAACTGTCAGCTGATTCGTTTTACTGGTCCGGATGACCTCCCACCCGCACTGTTCAAAGAGGGGATGGACTCCTCAGACAACGCTTGTCTGATCTGTTTGCTTGCATTTGGGAAACGGGGTCTGTCCCAGAAAACTGGGGAAATCGATGATAGTGCCCATTTTCAAAAAAGGGGCACGTAGTGAGTGTGGTAACCACAGGGGATTAGCCTGAATCCGGTCGTAACGAGACTGTTGGCGTCAATTGTGCTTCGTCGCCCTACGGTCGCTCGTGAGATATTGACTCGAGAGCAGCAAGCGGGATTTCGACCTGGTAGGGGTTGCGTTGACCAAAACTTCGCACTTCGCCAGGTGCTAGAACAATGCCATACGTATAAGCGACCCACAATTCTAGTATTCTTGGGTTTCCGAGGCGCATTCGACTCGGTTGATCGGTTTGTTCTTCTTGAGACGCTTGCCCACCAAGGAATGCCCCGGAAGTTTGTGAACATAACACGTTCTTCTTATTATCAGACTTCCAGACGTGAGAGTGTACGGAGACCTCTCCGAAGCCTTCGTACACAAAGCGGTGTCCGTTAGGGATGCCTACTCTCTCCATTCCGTGTTAACTTCGTGATTGATGAAATAATGAGACGAACGCTGGAGGGTCTCCAAAGCCCTGGTGTTCAAATAGCCTGTGAAGAAAACCTTGCCGATCTGGAGTACGCAGACGACATCGTTCTCAACTTCGAAGAGGAGGAGAAGGCGCAAGTATTCTTGGATGAACTGGCCAAAGCCATCCCGTCCTTTGGTATGCACTTTGCACCTACAAAGTGTAAGGTCATGTTCGTGGACGTGCAGTCACTGAACGCGCCGTTTGTAATCCAGAGAGAGGTACTGGAAGTTGTAGAGCGGTTTACATATCTTGGAAGTTGTACTAGTTCCGATTGTAGTGTGACAACAGGTCAATGAACGAATCTGCAAGGCCCTGGTCGCGTTTGCTAATTTGAGACATCTATGGTGTCAGGGTGGTGTATTCTTGAATTCCAAGGGAAGTGTGCATCAATCTACAGTGCGTGCTGTTTTGTTGTATGGCTGCGAGACTTGGTCTGTTCGAGCAGTGGAACTGAGACGTCTTGAGGTGTTCGACAATCGTTGTTTCAGAATCATTGCTCGTGTGGGTTGGTGTCGGCATATCCATAACGAGGCAATTAGAAAGCGAGTTTTCCGGTGTGCAGCGAGAAACTTGCATTGAAGAATGTGTCCAGCACCAGAAGCTATGTTGGTTGTGATGTGTTGCGTTTGCCTAACCATCGTTTGCCCAGGAGAGTTTTGTTTTCCGTGCCCATTCCAGAGTGGCGGAAGCAGAGAGGCGACCAACCCTTGACCTGGAAGAGGGGCTTGAAAGAAATCACTAAAAGTTTAGGTGCTGTTGGTGCTACTCGCCTTCTAGGATGGGGACCGCGTGATCCTCACTGTGCCTGGTTCGAGACATTACAAGATATGGCTACCAACCGGCGTCATTGCCGTTCATGTTGTCATTTTCTATCCAGATTGCCTGAGTGAATGTCTGGCGGTGTGTGTCGGAATGATCGTGGTAAGCTAACACTAAGTCCCTGCTTGTCCAGTTTATTCTCTTCTTTTTAAGTAAACCATGATTGTACGGCAATGACGCATCGGTTTTGAACACTGATGTCATGCTGTCGACGATGATGCGGTGATTCGTTTTCCGGTCTGTGTAACTCGGTGAAGATCAGTACTGCAATTTGGACGTATCAGTACGTCATATCGAGTTGATTCCACAATGATGTAAAAACATGCCTACCTTCTCGGTTTGTGCCGATGTTACTTCTCACATAGTCAGCAGAGATGCTGCGATGCGGTAATGCAAAGGTTCATAAGTTCAAAACAATGCATCTATATTTGATGACTGATCAGCAGAAATTTATGGCCAGATGACTGTCATCTTTACATCGGTTTGTTGATTATATTAGTTGCTTAATTATTCCCCTAATCAATTTCACACCGGCACCTACTACCCCCATTCCGTTTTGTCTGTCTCACAATCATGCGTCAGCATCGTGACATGAATACGACAACATGTCAACTCCCGTTCCATGACCTTTTGAAGGACGCCAGTGATTTCACACTATTGTTTTCACGTTCCACTCATTGCAATGGCATACGTATAAGGACAGAACACGGTCAACCGTACACACGCATCACGCGCGTTTTAGAACACAGACCGGCTCAACACACCAAAAACTGTTGACAACCGTGAACGTCTAGCAGTGGAGTCTCCCAAAGAACGACTACTGCACACAAGCGAACGACCGTGTTCTGGCCTTAGATATATGTCGTTGCGAAAACAATAGTGTGAATTCACTGGCGTCCTTCAAAAGGTCATGGAACGGGAGTTGACATGTCACATTCATGTCACGATGTTCACACGTGATTGTGAGACAGACAAAACGGAATGGGGGTAGTAGGTGCCGGTGTGAGATTGATTAGAGGAAAAATTAAGCAGAAGGGTAACCGTTACAAATTCTGCTCCCTTCAGAGAGGGATCATATAGGCGCTGTTATCAGTCAGGATTGCAGACAAGTCACGTCTTGTCTGGTGATGCACGTTGTGGGATGTGGAACGAAACAAAGCACAAGGGAGACAGCGGATGCGGATGCACTGTTCAGATTGGACGACCGCTACAATTAACCGTGTGCTTTCTGTGAGACGACAATACAGACAATACAGAATGGGTGCGTGGCTGAACGTAGTGCGTATTGTGCATGGATGACTCGGATTCGCAAACTACTGTGCATTCTCATAAAGGAAACTACTCACAAGGTTGCTGAAAACTCTTCGACAGCCCACGACCGATTTCGCCCTTCTGTTTTGGGTTCATCAGGTAGGCGCAGTCCCCGAGTTTCCGTCAACCTTATGATCTACTTGAACCCAAATTGCACTGTTTTCGAGAAACACACTCATTTGCAAATCAATTTAGTTTTCACGGGAGACTCAATCGGATCTCTCGTTTATGATGTCCTCCAGCTGAATATGCTGCACACAGGCCGCCTCATGATTCAGTTGGCACGATATTCAAGATATTGCAGTATATTTTCATAAAGGAAACTACTCATTGTGCATTCTATTCTGTCTGGACCATATTCACACACGAATTGTTAATCTTTGGATGGTTATTCGTCTTGTACTGGCTGTAATCTGAAGGTCCTCCCATTACTAACATGTCAGTAAGACATGGGCATTTATATGGTTGGAATGTGTGCAGTCTTATTGTTGTTACTTTTCCTACGAAAACTGGGACCCCATTTTTCAACCAAGGTGGTGTTGAATTGTAGAACGTAGTTGAATGCATTTCGTCATTGCAGGTAGCCAACAGCGAAATGACTAGGCATGTGTTGCCTACCCATGGTCAGAGTGACTGTCTCGATTGGTTTACATTTGGCTCTTATCAGGGAGCGGATACTGTTGATCTCTGAAATTGTCTTCAGTCCGCAACGACCAGTCGGTTAAGATTAGATCCAAACACTGTCTCTCAAGCTATGTTCCCTCGGACACCAAACCATGCTGGTTATCAATCAGATGGCTCACTGAGCTTGGCGAACAGATAGGCAACCGATTAGAGCGCAGGAGCTACCAGTATATCAGGATGTTGGCATGTCCTTATAAGCTGGTTCAGAGGTAAGCCGAGAGTATGCGAACAAAGTTGTCTTTGTACGCAGAGAGCAGATCCAAATCAGAAATATATTATTCAACAGAGCATAACCTCATTTATCAGAATAGTACACGAATTTCAGAATGAATGCGGAGTGCTCCTTTGCACAAACAATGAAGATCATCACAGATTTTTTTATCGCCTGTATAACTTAAATTTCATACAAACAGCATACGTTGAACCACATCTTACAGTCTTTCATAAATTCGAAAGTCGCACTCATTCTCGGCTAGTTAGCCAGTAATGGCGCACCTTGACTAATTTGGATTCTGGTTTTATCTGACAAATCATGAATCCCATTGGCCATATCCACGGAAGCCGTCACACTCATCGAAACCGTCGTCAGTTTAGTCATCACGACTCTGACAACAACTCTGATGCCTTGGTTTTCAGATCAGTTTGAACTTTTGCGCCAATGAATAATTTCTCAGGGTGTATCTTTCTTAGGGATCAAATGAACGTTCTACCGAGCGTTCTAGCAATGCGTGCGTGATACTTAAACCAGTAGATACCTATACGATTGAATTCATGCACAGGAAGTTTCGTAGTTTTTCGGCTTCGTTTTTTTGAGAGTTCTGATATTATGCGTTCTGGCGGCGGTAGGGGTTTGCGAAAAATAAACTTCATTGTGACCATCTGAGATTGAATTCGACCTCAGTTTTTATCAGGTGCAACTGTGCAAGTAAATCTACGGTGCTTGAATTTCCAATGTACATTTCATAAGCATTCTTCCTAAGCGGCCCAGAAAGACAATGCCAGATTCAAGTATTTTCCACGTGATTGAAAATGCCAGGATCTCTTTTAGCTTGCTGCTTTACCATCACAGTCCCTAGGCCCAAAGGCCTGGCAGTAAAGTACAAGCCAGACTCTGGTTACTGCGTCACCTTAGTGCATTCTGCCCCATTTGTGCAAGACGCCTGTTTGGACTAAATAGCAGAATAGTGTTGAGTGGGTGGAGTCACTTTACTTTGGATGAGTAATCATGATGATGAGGGCTAACTGTGTTGCCGAGGCATTCAAGACGTGGCCGCATCGCATCATTTTAATAACAGTGGTGGTGTCTCGTCCTTGATTTGACGCAAATAGGTAGTGTGGTTGTTGCAATGGCCGTCTTCTTTTGGAATTCTAAGTCTGAAAGTGTACACCAGCGGAAGCGTGCCGACTTGTCACATTTTTTCTGTGAGATGCGGTTTTGATCCTCAAGCTCACAGAGTAACGGTTTCGACTGGGCTGAGGAGGATACAACGCTAGTTTGTGTAAGTGTGTATCAATAAGCAGTGCAATCAGTTTATTATCCACTATGAATCACGTGTAACATTTTTAAACCCCATGTATAACAGCCGGGACTAGAACGCTTCTATGAAATCGGCAAATATAAGACGTGGATGTTTTAACTGCGATGAAGACATGGCGCTTTTACTGAAGGATGCACTTCTGTGGAAATTCGTTGCATGTGCCCATTGTAAACGGAGGTTTTCAGTCAGAATGATGCGGGTGTGATACAGGTCTAACTCAACTTTTGCTCACTGTAACGTGTAACAGGATGTCTGCAACCCAAGAGCCTTCACAATGGAATCATCAGTTTCGGATACATGTACACTGTAACTCAAGTTCGTATCTCGGCAACATCTGTAATTTTGCCAGCCGTATGATCTTCCTCAAATGTGAAGTTTATCCGACACATGTTAACGTCGCCTCTTCTAACTTCTTACGTCAGTTGCCTAAACCTCATTGGCACATTCATCGTCAGTCGCACAGATCCACAAATTCATGGAATTAGCGAACCGGTTCTACCTACCTTGCTGCGTTTACATCGTTGTCTGTGAAAACGGCTTGTACCTAGATAATCGATTTTATCTCAATTGGCCGTACAAATTTCCGAACTTTCGGTGTGTTTTGGCCACTAGACCAGTCTTTGCTTTTATTTTCCCGAAATCACCTTGATCTGACCACACGACACACTTGTCGCATGACAAGCGGCATCCGAGATTTGTACCTCAGGAAGTTAGGTGACCAGATCAGACAGCAGCACTTGGCTGGCCCCGTTTCGTTAGTCACAAATGCTGTGTGATCGTCATGGTTGACTGGGCGCCCAGTTGAGGGTTGCAAAACAGACGTGCGCAAAAGTCAATGATGGATACGGACTGAATATGTGGGTAGTGACTGGACAGAGACATTCCAAAATGTAAACCAATGATGATTTCTGTTACTGGTTACAAAAGCTGCTACTATTTTTGGCTGGTGGGATAAATTCTTCAGTCTTATTTGACTTATGCGAACAACACAATTGACTTTTTTGTGTGCAGATGACACCCCTTTCGCGGAATATTCTTGGACGAAAGGACTAAAATATGTGGTTCGTGTACAAGTTCTACAAATCACTAGCCGTTCGATCAAAAAGCCCCTTTAAATCTCCTGCTGATGAACTTCTATGACAACGTAAGAGCATGAAAATGTTGATGTGCTGATCTGGTTTCTCTAATCACATTTTGATGAGGTAACGACACTTGAGTGTCAGCCGATAACAGATGTACGGGAAAAGGATACCTGGCCACTTGGTCTGTGGCCTTTGTATTATGAACAATTTCCCCTTTCATGGGACTTGGCTACTAACCTTCACAATTTGCTGTTAACACAAGTCAGTATCCTGAATCGGTGAACCCGCAACTATTCCGCTAATCCGTTTATTTTTCAGACACAAAAGGAGAAGAAAACCTCTCCATTCTTAGACGGGTTCTACTCACCTATATTTGGGAACATCTGGAAGATGGCTACACCCAAGGAATGTGCGATCTTATCGCACCCATTCTGGCCCTACTCCGGTTGAACAACGAACTTGCGGACAACATCGAGTGGACCACTTATGCCTATTTTTCCCATCACCTGAAGCTACGTTTGAGTAAACTGTTCACGTTTGCGGACAGCAACACACAGATGGACCAGAACTTCGCCAGTCTGAAAGCCTTGGTTCAGGCAAGTGATATTTCGGAGTTAGTCATTTCACTTAATACTAATTTCTATTCACTCAAAGACCCAGTTCTTTCAGAAACAAATGCCACGATGAACTAGGGCCCCAGGTCGCCTGTTACTCTTCATCAGCTTCCACTTTTCTTGCAGTGAAAACATGATGGTGGTCGGATCCTGTGTCTCATGCAAAACGTGATGTTCCTTCATGTGCTTGCCATATCATTTTCATTAGTTTGTAAGTAGTCAAGACAAACACTGGTAGATTCTGGATGAAGACAAGTTTGTTGACTTGAAACGAACAAAAGTTTTTGGATACAAAGATGCATGGAGCGCGTTCTGATGCGCTGTGTCCACTGAAAAAGGCATTGGATTTTGAATGGGGGCAAGGCACCAAAAGATGTGGCACATTTCAACAGAAAGTAGCTAACTTTGTCTCCCTGTCCTTTAGTGGAAGTACTTCAACGCGTCTAGATGTAACACACTACTCATAAGGTTGCTGATACCCCTTCGACAACCCACCACGGGTTTCAAATTTCTTGAGGCACATCAAGTAAGCGCAGTCCCCGACTTTCTACCAACCTTATTTTTTGCTTTGTTGTGTCCTAAAGTGGCGATTCTACCTAGACTTTTATTCGCACTTTTTGGTTATTCGCAGATCATGGATCCTGGCCTGATTGATCACATCCAAACGTACGGTGACTTCACGGAGTTTTACTTCTCCTATAGATGGTTTTTACTAGATTTCAAAAGAGGTAAGAAACCTGATTTCATGTACAGATGGATAACTACGTGCAATACTGCATGGTAAAAATTGAGGAGCAGAAGTGGTTAGCTTCATAGTATTTGATGAGTTGTAGAGGCACTGTGAAGATCTGTGATTGGACCGTCTGTCGTCAACTGCTAGTTCAACTTGTGTGACTGTTATCGCCGCTATCAGCATGGTAATCAGCAGTTTGTAGAGGCACTGTGAAGATCTGTGATTGCACCGTCTGTCATCCACTGCTAGTTCACCTTGTGTGACTGTTATCGTCGCTATCAGCATGGTAAGCAGCAGTAAAGTGCGCTTCGATTTCAGGTTGGTTTATTCCCCGATTTCTGCACATTCTTCCCTCTCTTGGCCTTTCAAAACCAGGTTAAAGTTTTGAATGAACAGCAAGATCAGTCCCACGATTTCAAGAGCTTACATTGCTTAGGAAATTTAACGATTTGGAAGATTACCTCTTGAACAGCTACCTTTTGTATATAACTTCTAGATTATCGTTTTCACTAGGGTAAATTGGAAAATAACCGAGTTCTTCAGCAGTTTAAGCTTCCAGTCGATGGTGTTTACCCTCTAGCTTGGCTAGAAGGGCCTCAAGTTTGTATATGGCCTGAAAGTGTTCTTGTTTGTTACTTCAGGAATTGAATATACCCCAACTTTACTTGACTTAAACTTATACTGCTTACCACACATCGGTGGCATCGTCATCATTACCTTTCCTCATGGTTATCATCACCACTTGTGTTGAGCACATCTGGTAAAACCCTAATAGTAAAGGTAAGAACAAACTGGTGGAACAAAATGAGCAGATTGCTGGTTTTCTCAAGATTATGAAACCTTGCTCACACAACCTGCAAGGTAGCTGATTGTAGGAAGGATAATGACATTAGTTCATAATCCCATAGATCCAACAGCACCAACAGCTTCCGGAATTTTGCAATCTCCCTAGTGTCATTTTGTTTCTTGGCCTTCTACCATGAATTTAGTAAGGAATTAAACGCTCTTGTTAGCGGATGGCAGCCTGATATATGTGGAAAATGACCGAGTTAACGATGTTTGTCTTGTCTATCTAATATGTAGTGGCCTCTGCTTTAATACGACTGTGTATCCATGTAAGCTGACAAGTTGTTCCATCCAAATTATTTTAAACAAAACTTATTGTGAGAATGGAGTTCCGCACGTATATCAGTGTAAGCAGACAAACTAGAAATCCAGAACTCAGCGCAGCGTAACCAGTAGCACGTATGTATTCTAATTGACGTATATGTACAGCATATGGAATATTAAAACAAGAGAATAATGAATGGAGCAATGAACACTGTATCAATCATGTTCATCACACTTACTTCCTAATGGATGACATAGAAAATTAGTATTGTACTGATACAACTACAATTCTAGTCGTTCTCAGACCGCATGAATACAAGGGCAATCCAGATCCAGTCGATGGTGGGTTCAGAAAGCACCAGGTTCTGTTTAGATATTAGAAACGGAAAGCAATAGACCGCAGATTTTTGGTTGAAAGTAAGGAGAGCGGGGAAACGTGTGGTTTGGCCACATCTGTGCTGAAAGTCTTGGTCTTTGCTGATGCGTTGACAGACATACGTTTTAGGAACAGTCTGATAGCACTTAGTCGGTTCGGCACCACGAGGATGGACGGAAGCCTGCTGATTTTTAACTACCCAAGAGTGGCTGTCTCAGTTTACCAGCGGAAATTTATTGTGAATGACGGAATGCATTGCGGCCATCTGTCCCAACAGTATATGCTGGTTACATGCTCTCTATTTTTCTTCAGAGTTTAACTACGAAGATATATTCCGCGTCTGGGAGGCCCTGTTTGCTGCGATGCATCACATTTCTGACAGATTCGAATTGTTTATCGCACTGGCCCTTATTCACCTCTACCGAGATGTGATCATACACAACCGAATGGAATTTACAGATGTTTTGAAATTCTTTAACGGTAAGCCATTAAATTTAGAGGGCACAAGTGCAATCACCTTGCTTTGTTTTAGAGCGGGCGGAACGCCACGAGGTTGGTCGCATTCTAGATCTTGCCAGCCAGTTTGTTTCAAAGACCCAAGAACTAGTAAGCATCTCTTTGGACTTTTAACCTCTCGCAACCTCCACCACCCCGTCCGTGTCTTCGTATACCGTCACGTGATTTGTGTCCCGAATGTGATATGAAACTTTTGTTTTGTATTGTGATTCATACTGGCATAAATTCGTTCTACATACCTATGGTTTTCTTGAATATACTTGTTTTTATCGAGCTATGGATTATTTTCCTCGGGCCATTTCTGCCAGCTCTGCGATTTCTAACTGCCACGTTTGCCGTTTCTTTAATATTAGTCGAACTTCACTGTGCCATATTCTGGCATTTCAGTGAATTCATTAATCGCGCTGGGAACAACTGCAGTAATATTTTCAAGGAACCACTTCATGGAAGTTAGACTACTCAATGGATAGTGCACGACAAGCGTCCCTCTTCAATACTTTCCCCCAGAAACTGTTCCATACATCTCCACCTAGGCGTGAAATAAGCCATTCCTGCGGCTGTTCTACTTATTCAGACGGTGCATTCTGCAACCATTTAGTAACCATTCTACAGTCAACAGATACCATCTTGGAGACATGACGTAGCGCACTTTCATTTCATAGAGGTTCGTGAGTGGAACTTCGTACTAGGCGAAATCATATGCTGGCCCATGACCCCAAACTAAACGATGTCCTACAGTCTTGTCACGCGTAATAACACCAGCGATGTCTTGACGATTCGCGTGAGTTATTCTAAGGCATCCATAGTAGAACACGTGACGTTGACAAACGAAATGGGTTTGTCTGTAATAGTGTTGATGGCCATGGACCTTCCTCCGGGTCACTGAATTCAGTTGTACGGTATCATTAGTCTTGTTACACAAAGCGTTTTGGGACCAGCATTAGTCAATCTCTGAGTAGACTCTGCAGTCTACTTCACTCTGTTTTTCGTGCAACTTGCCGGAACTTATGCAGCTGTGGCTGGTTAGAAACAGAGACTATGGTAATGTCACTGCGTAGTAACAGTATCAGAGCAGTTGTCTCAAAGAATTAGGTCAAGTTAGTTCCGTTACAAAAACGACAATATAAGAATGTCGGCGCTGCCTCCGACCTGTAGTCAGCCCATTGCAAGTTCTTTCCTAGTCTTCAGTCTAGCCATTCGCGTCATTTTACGGCATTTTGCGAACTCTATACTACTTATGTGTTGGTTCACTGATACACCCATTACCACGAGCGTACATTCCTGTTCATTGTGCCTTAAAACTCGTATCCGCCGCGCGTTGTTCGTTTGTGTAAATTACAGTTAAACAAAACTGTAACAGCCGACAAACAATTACTAGTAGAGGGGGCTGTTTGAGCAACCTTGTGAGTAGTTTCGTTCATGGAAATATACTGCGATATCTCGAATATCGTACCAACTGAAATATGAGGTGGCTATCGTCTAACACATTCAGTTGAACAGTTGAAGAGTATCGCAAGCGAGAGATTCAGTTGGCTCACCCGTGAAAGTCAAATTGATTTAAAAATGAGTCTATTTGTCGGAATTGGACCAATTTGCGTTCAAGTAGAACATAAGGTTGACGGAAACTCGGAGACTTCGCCTATTTGGCGAGCCCCAAAAAGGGTCAAGCCTGTTTTGGGCTGTCGAAGCATTTCCAGCAATCTTGTGGATAGTTTCTGTTATGAAAAAATTGCAACTTTGTGTTCTTGTCATAAGTTGCTCAAGCTTTATTTACCCAAAAAAGATATATTTGGATACAAATGCGCTTTCTCCTTCGGTTTTGTGAAGGTCTGATTCTTGCAAACCCATCGACCGTTTTAGCGTCCTTTGGAAATATCTTCCAAGCCTTCTTCAACCTTCTGTTTGCTGTAGACGCAGGTACTTCAGTGCTGCGATAATTGCGCTGAAAGTGATGAGCAACTGATCAACAAATGAACTGACAACCATCCAGACGCCTCGTCGAGTATCTTGTCTTTCAATCAAGTTGGAAAATGGCAAGTGTTCGACAGATTGTCCGGATGGAAGAAGACTAAGGAATTAGTCTGTTTATTGGGAATACCAGAGGAGAAAGCAAACGCAGTTAGAACAGAGGATTCACATCAGAGTGTCTACTTGGAAATTCTAAGAATCGAACACTAGTATCAACAATTGATACAACCCGCTCTTTAATATTTCAGTTCCCTGCGCAAAATGCAACGCTCGTCTGCCAATGCCGACACTACAGTAATTACTCAGTCTTTTTACACATTTCATTTCCATGCACTGTGCATTTCTAGACATAAACTAGTCTCCATCCTCCTTTTAATGAGGATTTAAATGTGCCTGCTTTTCCCAGTGTATATCACTATGGTTGTGCTCTAAGCGACACCCATGGATTCACGAATTAATACAAAGGATGAAAATTTTTCTCCAAGTTTCCCGGTGAGTTTTGTTATTGTGGTTCAGCGGCTGTCGTCCACCTGAAAGGCACAAGTGAAAAACCGTGTAGCACTGCTCTCGAACCGGGACAGTATGTTTGCCAGCATGAGGATTCGCATAAATAGGTGCCTATTAGTGCTTTGAACTCGGTTCTAGAAAGGGCGTGGACAACCATCGGAGGAAGGTCATTCCACGCAGCTACTGTCCCAAATGAGAAAAAATGTTACCTAATGAATGTGGACGCTCTGAGCTTGAAACCTCCTTAACATGCCCCCCTTGTGTGTTTGTTAGGTCAATGGTGAAAGACCTGTAGGCAAAGCTTCGTTCAAACAGGACATAAATAAGAATTAGGTCCCCTCGGATGCGACGATACTCCAGAGGAAAGAGGTTAAACACTGCGAGACGCGTTTCGTAGTCCACGAATTTGAGGCTGGCTACCATTCTCGTAGCGACTCGCTGCACACGCTAAATGAGAGTGACGTCTTCCGTGCAGCCTTAGTAGACAAATTTGTTAGCGTATTCAAGGGGAGGTATGAATTTCAAGGCTTCATGATCGGTCACAATCGTGAATGGTTTACCAAAAAGATACTTGTGTAGTCTACTTACACCCCAGAAGTAGGTCTCATAGAGTATTTGGAAGTCCATGGGAGTAATACGGGAGAAGGTGCTCTGAATCATCTGTAATATGGTGAATTCCTTTTGGGCCGGTGCAGTGAGAAGGAGAAAGATGAGACCCAGATACCCAATTCCCTTTTGACGTCTATCCTCGTGACATTTTCTGGTCCGTTCTAACCACGCATGACAGGCATTCGCTGATTCTCCTACAAATGACATATGGACGCACTTTTCCTCATTGAGAGGAATTTGCCAGTCCAACAACCACTGCTTTGCAGTGTTTACATTCATTTGGAGGGCACTGGCATTGGAACGAGTAGACATGGACTTGCAAGAACATCTGGGAGGTCGCTGACGTATAGCAGAAACAGCAGTAATCCAAGGACGGGGCCTTGAGGAACTCCAATGGAGACTGGCGCTGGAGAAGCGTAGGTAGAACCTACCTTCAATCGGGATGATCTGTCTGATAGGAACGCCTTGATGCAATGTAGGATTTGTCCCTGAATCCCGTAGGACTCGAGTTTTTGGAGCAGCGGTACGTGTGGGACCCTATCAAATGCTGCTGAGAAGTCGAAAAATATGGCATCTGATATGAGTCCTACGTCCTTGGCTTGGGTTAAGCTGTCCATAAACACGAGCATGTTCGTCACGCGAGAACGGTTTGGGAGAAATCCGTGTTGAACTTGAGATATCAGGTTGCTGGAACTAGGGTGATTTAGGTTAGCTCGCCTCAGAATGTGTCCCATCATGTTGCACGGCACGCAGGTAAGGCTTATGCTCGCCAGGCGGTAGTGTGTCCCCAGTTTTGTAGATTGGCGTGAAAATCGCTTCTTTTCAAGTAGAAGGAAGGTGGGTTTCGTCAAGCGGCTGACGAAACACCATATAGACGACACCAGTGTAGACGACATTTCATTCGGAATCTTTGGATGAACCTCGTCGGGTCCCAACGCGCGCGCAAGGGCTGAAAACTATCCTTCACCAAGTCGGCCAGAGACTGCTCGGAGTTATGCCCCGACAAGACTAAACGTGACCAGTCCGCTGGGGCTGAATTGTGAGAATTAAGTTCCACACGTAAATCAATAAAACCAGACGAATTAGAAATCCAGAACTCAGTGCAGCGTAATCAGTAGCACGTGTGTATTCGAATTGGCGTATGTGTACAGCATAGGGAATATTAAAACAAGATTACAATGAATAGAGAAATGAATAGAGTATCAATCATTTTCATCGCATCCGCCACAACTTCAATGAGCATGTAGATGTTCATACTCCAGTGCTGGTCTTGATCGCAGTCTTTCGGATCTTCTCGGAATGGAAACTTTAGACTCTTCATAGTCTGTATATTTTTCTGATACGTTCTGTTCGGATACCATAAGATCACCTACAAAGGACTCATTAGTATTTGAAACAGCAGGAGTGCCGTCAACAGACGGACCTATGGTGTGGACCTCGACCCGGTCAATATGTCTCCGATGACAAGAGAGGTCATTGAAATCGAGAATTGTGACCATCCGTTTGGTAGTTGATGAAAGTACTATTCCTGTAGCAGGTCATAAATCACTACTCTTGAAAAATGTAGCATCATCCGTTTGGGCACAGTCAAGACTTGTACGCAACGAATGAGATTTCAATAGCAGCGTGGGACTCTTCCCCGTAACGGAATGAACGGCACTCCTGTATTACATTGGAAAATTATCAATCTCACGGTCCATGTCCACAAAAGTACTAGGAGAGAATGAAATAGTCACAGATTTCAGTTAGCTAGCCCATTCGACTGTGGATGTCGTGGAGCAGTAAACAGATGTCGACATCCAAGATCTTTTAACCATTCACCGAGGGATTTTTTAGTGAAGCGTGCGTCGTTGTCAGTGACCAAATCAGTTGGTACACCTTCATTGCTGCATACTTTTCTCAGTGCCTGCTGTGTGAATTCGGCACTTGGAGACGTGGTTAGAAAAACTTCAGGCCAATGTGAATATGCGTCAGTAACAATTCAAGCATAGTATTTACCGAGAAAAGAACCACAGTAGTCAGCATGAACTCGTTGAAATGCTTCACAAGTAACTGGCCACGGATACCACTGTGAAGACTTGTTTTGAATCTTGTGTGCACGTTTAACACAATTCTCAGCAGTGTGCTTGATATCAGCATCCAGTTCCGACCACCAGCATGACAAGCGTGCAAAAGATTTCATTTTGTCAACACCCAGATGACCAGAGTGCAAATCTGCAAGAACATCTGCTCGCTGAGTCGGTGGAATGACAACTCTATCCTCAAAACACAGCAAACCATCCGGAGTAACGGATAAGCTTTCGCGGCGACAGTAAAAAGCAGGAAATCGGCGTCGTTC